CTAAGGACAATTATGACATGGCGAGCGAGTATTTTGTACTTCAATTTTATGGCTTCATGTCACTCACAAGTTAGTTTGATGTTACGTACATTATTAACATTACAGAATCCACATATTCCTGCCAGTTTTAATACATATTTTGTAATCAACAAGTGTGTAACACCGGTCAAAGTTTGACACTTCTCTGGCCATTATCTCCGTAACCGTTCAACATTGGACATAGGTGTTTTGGGTTATATCAGCATACTTTAACATAAGGAACACCCTCCCGAAGTTTGGTCCATTCCTCCTGGGACACCCTGTATATCTGCCCATACTGGCCAGAGTGAGCAAGGGGCACCTGTAATCCCCAATGAGAGGATGACATTGACAGAGTGGCCTCACAGCTTATCAGGAGGTATGAATCTGATGCCTCTCACACTTATTTTTACCTCTGTTTGAGCCGAAGAGGGCAGGGAAAAGACACGCAGCAAAACCTCCAATAAATCTAATATATATGACAAACCTATAACCTTAGATTATCAACTGCCCCAATACCAGCATTCTTAATCGCATTATCAAAATAAATATAAAACTAGATCCACAAATTTAACAACATTCATTTTACTGATACATTTATATATTTGAATAAAATGTAAAATTACCATCCAAGTACATCTGATTTATTTCTCTCTTCACTGACCAAACAGTAGTATATCCCTAACTGATTTCAATCATAATATGACAAGTATCTTACCTCCTAGGAAGCAATACGAGGATTCTGCATTAACATAATGACATCAAAACTATAAAAAGCAAGCATGTGTCTATAATACATGATAGAGCACCAACATGAAGAGACTGTATCCAACAGTTACTTATATGATTGAATTTCTAACTATTTGTACATTTTATCCTATACTTATAAATTATACATGGTTGGTATGGTGATTTAACATTTTATTTTAACTCCATGAGGCAGGGTCCATCCTGAGTGACTTATATTAGTTCAGCTGGTAAAGAAATGTCCCACCTTTCATGGAACCTGAAAGTTCACAGTGCATACTAATGAACCCAACTCAGCCAGGTGAACTCAGTCCATGTTCAATTAACAATACCTTTCTGTCTATACATATGTCTCCTAAGTATTCTCTTCCCTTCAGATTTTCTAACTAAAACTATGTATGTACTTTTTTCTTCATCTTTCCCATGCATGTTACATTGCCCCTACCATATCACCCTTTTGACCTGACCACACTGGTAATTAGTATAAGCTTCTCAGTACCGGTCTATGGAGTCACACAATGTTAAGTGATGAGTGCTTATTATGAAATTCCTCATTACATAATTTTCTTCTTTCCCTTATTTTCTTCATCTCCCTTTAGTTATATATTCTCCTCAGCACATTATACTGTCTCACAGTGCAGCTACCATCCTCACTTGCTGTGCCATACAAACATATATTTGTGTATTCACTTCATATTTTTATCATTTGCAATGTGCTTATAGTGAATATCATGGCCTATAGACCCACAGCTAAGCAGTGACTCTGTAGACAGCAGCCATTACTAGGTAACGCCCACAACAATAGACGAAGTTTTCTTTGTGATCTGCGCCAAAATCATTGCTCTGCAACAGCATGGTAAACATGCCTCTATAACTATAGATGGGCTGTGTTTTCTGCATGGTCTGTGAAGCAGTTACCTTGAAGGCAACTGGTGCTACAATTTAGTTGAGAGTTCAGTTGTGGAGTCCTCGTTTACATTCCCTACAGAGCGAACGATACTTTCTAAGATGAGGCACCAACTAAATAATTAACATTAATATTACTACATCTACATCAGGAGCCTCCAATAACAGTTTTTATACACAAAAAATATAGAATACTCTAATTTGTCCATGGGAGTGGAACAAAAATCACAAAATCCAACGACTGACTCGATGATGTAAGAATTTTATTCTTGTTTTATACTATAACTTTTGTTTTATATAATCTAATTTATTGTATTTTACATCAAATATTTTAATATAATTAATACTATTGTATCCAATTTTATTAATACTGCAGTTCAGTGATGTATATATGTTAGCCATGTATTTGCCTGATGATGGCTATTAATAGGCGAAACATATAGCAGAGCCAAAACCAGGCACTGACCTTGATATAGTTGTGTTGTGACAGTCTTAATAAAGAAGTTGCACGGTTGTGGAGTGTTAATCAGTAGGCAATGGTGTGACCATGGAAGCTGAAGAATCTCCATTGTTAAGATTTGTTAGAAAGAAATGTCTAGTCAAAATATTGCAAAAGAATAGCCACTGTTGGGAGCTGTTACCATGTAACAACTACTGAAAGCACACTGATAAAACTTAGTGTGGAGTAATTTAGAGTGTGGGAATCAGCAAGAGTGTTATGTTGTTACAACCTGTAAGTGGTCAATAAATCTATTCACCAATCCAAACCCTGTTTACAGTCACTCTAAATCATAACAATATTACATCACAATGGAAATGGAGTGAGATTTCTGTGGTGGATACCTTCACTCCCCATCCTGAGTGAGACCAAGTATCACAGTAATACCATTCAACAGGTAAATTATAGATGCATATGTTTCAGTTTAGGTTTCTTAGATTTATAGGTATATAGAAAAGGTGGGTGTGTACATGCGTGCGTATGTAGCAGACCTTCAATATAACATGGGTTTTGGAGGGGAAATTTTGGTACCTATGTTATATGTGAAATTGACATTTATGCAATTTTGCAATCCCTGATATTACGTATATTTATCCATAAAATTTAAGGTTTCACCAACGATACTGGCACAGACCACTACATTACTTATATTTATGCCTCCTCATAAACATAATTGATGTACTGTTGCTTGTAAGAATTGATGATTGTGTTTTCTCAGAACATACTGCTTAATATTAATCAGATGCAACATATGAAGATGTTCACTATCAATCTCTTATCTTATTCATGTCATCACTTCATTAATATTATCTAGCACTCTGTGCAATTTTGGTACCACTGCTTCACAGGAACCACCACTATTGTTTTCTGTGTCACTGGCTCAAAGAGTATAGTTGTCTTCTTCCCATTTTTCACAATATCTGTGATATCCTATTCATTAAGTGGCCTCCGTAGTCTAGGGGTAATGTTCCCACCTCATGACTCAAGGTACGCGGGTTCAAACCCGGCGGAGGTCAGGGAATTTTCAGGGGCAGAAAAATTCAGGGAACAAGTCCTCCGGGAGGGACTTTAAGCCGGGGGTCCCATTTCGTAGATTTACGGCACGTAAAAGATCCTCATGTCTCTAGGAGACCTCTGAGTAAAATTAGGCAAAATGTTTCCTGCCCAAGTAGTTTCCAATGCCTCCAGTAGATGGGGAGGTTATCAGGTACCAATGCCAGTAGAGGGCCGACCTCGCTGGCAGAAAGGGGAGAATTATCAGGTGCCATGCCAGTAGAGGGCCGACCTCGCTGGCAGAAAGGGGAGATAGCGGGCACCAGTATCGGTAGGGTATGGAGACAGTAGAAATTAAAGGGGGATGTACAATAGACTATTAGTCGCGGTGCATGGGGAAACCCACCCCCTCTATACTGAATAACTGAATAACTATTCATTAAGATGCTGTGCAACCAGTCTCCTCATCTACTTAAATCCAAGCTGCTGGCAGGTCATCTGCTTCTAAACTGAGTAACTGTTCATCAGTGTGCTCATTTTACATAGAATTTCAGGAAAAACTTTGGCTGCTGTATTGTCACAAGATGCAGATTGACCTCCAATGTGAAACTGGCATGTCCCATACCAAAGCTTCCATCTCCAAAGTCATATATGGTCTCATCTCCACCAAGTAATTTGTTAAATTGAATGATCTACTAAAGCTTTCAAGACTACCCCACTTACAGGAACCACTTGTCTACATTCAATTTTCATGAAGTTTTGTCTTCTTCCTTTGCACACCTGTCATCTTCTACAGAATCTAGAAATGGATGTTTTGTTTTTTTTTCACTTAACTATGTACTGTTCCTTCTGGAATTCCACACTTGCAGAATAAACCAACTTTTGATTCACCATTCTTTTAACTCTTCTAATAATTTTCAATTTTTCAACTTATTCTTTTTTCTGTTGGTCATCATTGTAGTTTGTTTTCTTTCTTGATTTATTTAATGACAATTTTCACGGTACTACTAGTCACTTCTTAATAAGCAATTACCACACTTATGCTGTTTTTGGAACATCCCTCTCCAACAGCCCTGCTGGATTTCCAACCATCAGGAATTGAGAAGGCAAAATGATTAGCATTAGAACAATGCAACTCTTCCTGTCACAATCAGAAGTAGTGTTCATTACATTTTAAAATTGTTAACCCCAAGTTTAGAGAAATCAGAAACATATATACTCATAGCAGATTACTGACTTTACCATCTGTACCTGCACCCTACACCAAGGAATGATGCAATACAATATTATAATGTACACAAATATTTCACAGAAATTTGTATGACATAAACTGTACTGGGGGACATGATTACTGGTGCGGTATATGTGAATCCACATTATATTGAGCAGCCTCTGTGTGTGCGTGCATACACACACCCATACAAGAGAGAGAGAGATTCTGAAGAGAATAGTAGCAAGCAATCCCCAAATTTAATTTTTTCTTAAATTCATCACTGACGTACTTCTGATTTATTAAATGCGAAACAACATGTTTGATATATTCCACTTCAGGCCTGCAGTGGATCCAGTATTCAGACATTTGAAGGTGAATGCTTCAGATGTAAAATATTTTGCTAAGAAGAGATCAGAGTTGAGAGAAATACAGAATGTCTTGAAAATGCAATATGCTGCATTAAGTTCACTCACATTATCAGAACTAGGAGAAATAAATGGCGCACAATCAGAGTAGCACCATGTTTATCCCAGTACTTATACAAAAAAGCAAAGAAAATTAATGAATTTACTACCGTCAGGAAAAATCCTTACACTGATAATTCTTCTTTCATGACTGTACCTCCTAGCGCCATAATTGTAGAATTAACTTCTGAACTGCTAATACAACCTCAAGTTACAGGCAAACCTCTATGTGAGGACTGAGGTTGTGATGATGAATTGGTCAAATTAGAGTATTAGACACTTCAGATAGTGACAGGCGAGTGTTGCAGCACTCACAGAATGATGACTGGCACACAAGAATTTTAAGTATTTAGAGAAAATATATCTCAATGTCACTTCATGCACCACAAACCAAAGCTAATGCCAGCAGCCTGGGTCATACCTGCTTGAATGCAATGTTAATGTCCTTGCTCAGTTCCATGTCCTTGAACATCCCCTCCAGTTTGGAAGTGAAGCCCCCACCACACTCTTGCTTCAGCTTTGACAGCATGCTCTTCTCTGCATCCACGCTTGCCGATTTTCCAACAAGTAGTCGTTTTGCAAGATCCTATGATTTCACAGTTCCAAAACATTAGCATAAAACAACTATGCATTCTTGGTACATATATAGTGCATGAATCGAATTCACAATGGAGAGACAGGGTGTCTAAATTGACAAAACTTGATATTGGCAATTTATGCTAACAGTTTATTTGGAAAATTTAATTCTTTGTATGAGCAGTTAAATAGAAACCCACCACATCACATGAAGCTCCAACTGAACTTCACTGATCTTCTCAAAAACAGCTCATCATGCAAGAAAGTCTGTGCATGATACAAAATAAAGGGTTCATTAAGATGTGCAAATTTCTGCTTGAGATAATCTTCTCGCAGTGAATATTTAAGAAGAAAAGTAAAAATACTATACTTTCTATTTCCTTTTCATTACTTATATAACACACTACACATACACACACATATATATACTAAAAAACAATATTCCAATCTTTTAGTCATCATAATTCATCATCATTTACAAAACAGCACTTTTGAAGCCATAGCCTTTCTTAGAAGATTCTGCCAGGTTTGATTCCATTTTTACTTCTTTGGATTTCCCAACAATACTTTCTTTTACAGAGCGAGGTCATCAGCCTTGTGTCCAACCCCCAACCTGGAAGACCAGGTCCCTGTACTTATGACTCTCAGTGACAGGATGGCCCAATTATACCCTCAGGCAACAAATTCCCTTTTTGTCACCTTCTACAACTTGCAGGACTACAGTGGAGGCATTCTATCCTGCCTCAACACAGGAAAATCACCATATTTACAACTGGTCAATTTCTGGGAAGTACTGCTTTCTGAATCATTGCAGCGTTCAGCTTAGTGTTAATAAATTTGTATCTGAAACCTACCTGCAACTTCTAGTTGCACCATTCTTTAAGCAGTGAATATTTAAGGAATTAGAAGGAAATATTTTCCAAGTCCATGTAGTGTTAATAGTGTATCTGTCACCTAACAGAGGAGACTACTGGCATCATTCCTTTCCTTTCTGCTGCTGGAGCAAATACATACTTACACTGTGGAAACATGATCTATGTTACAGACTCTTAAATAAGGCACTGGAGGAAAATAAATACCAGCTGATGTACAATGTAGGCATGGTGACAGAATATAGCAATAAGAAAGGAAACAAAGAAGCTTACTGAAGTATAGGAGTTGACCTTGTTTCAGAAAACTATCTTCTGCATTACTTACATCAGTAGGCTACAGCAAACCACTACAACATAGCGACGTCAACACAAGGAGCAGCTTATACACATCATAAGAAAATCTGATATACATCACTCCAAATAAACAACCTGCTGGGTGACATACAGAATAATGAGCATAAGCTCCACAAGACATAGTAAGGGCAAGACCACACGACCTAACTTATGTGAGAAAATCCTGATATCCAGGTACCCCACACTAAGGTCACTTCTACCACCAGAAAATCACATCAACATGAAGCAGTCACAAAGTTCTAAAGAGATTTTTATCACAAAATATTTTCATTTCCATTTTTGTAGAATTTTAACTTTTTTGTTTTAATCTTTAGTCTTTAATTTCTTAAATTTAAATGTTATTATCTAAGTAATTTAAAATTTTAAGTGAAAGATTCAATTTATGCATTACAAACACTCAAGAGCATAATAAGGATCCTTATTACAGAATTTGATGCAAATAGATGCAATTAAACTGACTCTGGTATCATTGTACACCTGATGATGACCCAGTATAAGAGTCGAAACATGTAGCATCAATAAAAACAAATGTTGATACAATAGTGTCCACTTGGTTTTAAATACAGAATATTGTTGTGTACACTGCATACTTTTATATACATTTTATGTACCTTGTTCATCATTAAATAACCCACAAACCATTCCAAAATCAAGTCCATGTCAAATTCCCAAAACTCCACAATTTTCCACCGCAAAAATGAACACAAAGCCTCAGACCTGGATAGATTCCTTGGATAAATGAGCTAAGATAATGAAAATGGAAATGAGATTTTTGACTTGGAATGTTCAAAGTTTGTATAGGGCAGGTTCGCTCAGGGCAGTGGCAGAAGAAATCCTAAAATATAAGTTAGATTTAGCGGGAGTACAGGAGGCCAGATGGGATGGAGGTGGCATCACACCAGCAGGAGGCTATACATTTTTCTATGGAAAGGGGAATGAAAATCATAAATTACGTACAGGTTTTTCATACATAAGAGAATCGTATCAGCAGTTAAGAGGGTAGAGTTTGTTACTGATAGGATATCATATATAATACTAAAAGGTCGCTGGTGTGATATCATTGTTATGAATGTTCATGCCCCAACAGAAGATAAAATTGATGACATAAAGGACAGATTCTATGTAGAACTGGAACATGTATTTGATAAATGAGAGATCAATCTGTGTCAGTTTCTTCACATAAATATGAGGAATTCATATTTATACATAAGAAGAACTGGAGGTTATTACTTTCTCTATGCCTTTAAATCACGAATACATAAAAAAATCAGAAGTAATCAGATTCAATGTGTTATAGGGTTCTGTTAAAATCTTAAGACTTCTTTTCTGTGCACCTGAAATAAGTTCAATAAATAAATACTTTTATATTTTCAATGGTAAAAGTTCCTCATATATTTTGGCATGTTAACACCATGCTGTTACTTAACTGAATGCACACACAATAACTTTCTGCTCAAAAACCAGTCATATTTTCAAGTATTCTGCCATGACTGTACCTTCTTGTAGAATGCCTCAAATACATCCTTGCCATGGATGAAACGAAACAGAACCATGATTTTGTCTAGAAGTCGTTCCAGCTCCTCCTCTGTTGACTCTTTGTTTCCTGCCCTTAGTTTTGAGTCTACAAATTTTGCTGCACATGCAAAGAACACAGTAAACAAATCAAACACAGTAAAATTATGAGACTCTGAAAAATGCTAATCTAATACAATCCAGTACTGAAAACAAAAGCTGTATAACAATATGCTCTATGCTATACAGAAGAGTGTTTGTATTAGTATCAGCCAATGTCAGTATGAACTTCACACTGTCCCGCTGAACGCAGCTTTGCAAGAAAAAGGAGAAGTTCAAATTACACTTCACATTACCCTACAATCCTGCATGTACTGAAACTGAACTTACCCCATGGGGCAGTCTTTCTTGAGAAGCTAATAGTCATTCAGCTGATCAACAAATTCCCTGAATTTAAGGAACCAAAAGGTTCACTACCATGTTCACAAGAGTTCACTCCAGTGCTTCAGTCATTTCAAATAATCTGGCCATGTCAAATGAGGACTATGTATCACATTTACTCGCATAAATTTACATAACCCTATTTTAGACAACATATTTTTGGAAAAAGGGAAAGTGAACACCAATCTTCCACCTACAACTTTTAGTTACAATATTGTGGTTAAATAGATAGAAGTAAATAAGTAATGTTATTTGTGAGTGTATGCTACCAGCTCCCTGGCTTATGTATATCAGTTTGAACACACCAAATGTCTAGACTTCTGAAGTAATTCATGCACGCAGTAGCATGCTTGGTTGAGGCACTATGCTAGAAGCCAGAAAGTCACAGGTTCGAGTCCCGATGAGGTGAATTTTTTCAATTAACCAATCCTTCCAGCCGCATTATGGCACTGGGGTCACCTCAGCCTCTAACAGAAATGAGTACCAGGAATCTTGCTGGGGGGTAAAGGACAGATGGCACATAAGGGTGACAACTTTACTGCCATCTGTGAGCCAATTGTCTAGATAATGTGGGACCCTCAATGTTTAACAACCCTTTGGGCCTCTATGGCCTGTTACAGGGATAGCTTTACCTTTACTTATGCTATCAAATAATACAAGCAACATATCATACTCAACTCTGTAAGAAGCATTTGAATGCGAACAGTATCACTGTAACTTTCCAGCAATGCTGCTTCAAGCTTTACTGAAATGCTGGAAAACCCTTAACATTAAGCTCCAACTGAAAAAACCTAAGGACTACAATTACAAAGATTACACTCTTCTGGGATATGCTGCTGCCTAGCGTTGCAGACAGGTACCAATGATTTGGAGGAACACGCTGCCTTCATCTTTACTTGAAGACAGAGGAAGCAGGTTCATACAGAATATTGGCATGTCTACCAAACTACAAAGTATCATATCAGAGAACACTGTAATCCTCATATTCACTACTGCAAGAATGTAAAATTTAACATTACATTATGAGTCCTGTTGGAGCAAACATTAATTTGTCCCTAAAATTTAGACCGTACTTGTCACTAGGGAAGAAATAACATTGTTGGAAATAACCATGTAACACCAAACTGCTCTGGTGAAAGGCTAATGATAAGACAAATATAACAAAAATTACTTGTCATGGAAGCCTAGTACCCACTGAAATACTTACCAATGAGCTCTGCAGGTTTGTTGGCACGCTGATTCACAAAATGCTCAAAAGCTTCTTTAAGACTATTTGCAAATTTGTCATTCCTTTGGAAACAGTGACTCACTATGTTGTCCATCTTGTCCTTAAAATCCAGCAGCTCTTGAACCATTGTTTTGTCCTTCTCTGGGTCAATAACAATTGTACGACCCTTTTTCTGCTCAAAGAAATAACATACAAGTCACAATGGCTTCAGAAATAAACATTAATAATACAGATGTTACAAACTATAAACAATGAAATTGTTGTTGTGAGGGCAAAACATAAACTGCAAATAAATAGACCATGGAAGGTACCATCTTACTTCAAGTATAAAACACCCTTGAATTTGAGATACATCCAGGTTCGAATGTGGGTTTTAGGAAAAAAATCAGAAGGGTGCACATGCCTCGAATTTAAGATACACATCAATTTTTCAATGGGAAGAACTGTGTAAAATGTGCATCTAATATTCACAGTAATATGGTATTACATACTGAAGAGCTCTGAGGCACAACTCTCATTATATGGACATGGTGATCAATATCATGAAGGTAAAGACAGTCTCTAAGACAAATTCAGTCTCCTATCCAACAAGTAACATGGCTTTTTTATTTACCAATGGTAAAGCTGACCATACACCTGCCCATGCTGGGGTCATGGAGCTTTATCACTACATTCCCTACACTACTTCAGGGTGTGGTGGGGTAATTCTACATTTTCACCGTTTCATACATTGATAGCTGATGCAGTACAGTTAAATAATCTCAGTGACAGAAATAACCTAAGATCTGAGGCTTAGTTAGTTAGTTATTGGGTGGGTTTCCCCATGCACTTAGACCTGTCTTGGTCCATTGTGCTTCCCTCTATGATATTCTACCAGTCTCTATATCCTACCGGTACTGGTGCTTACCATCAGTTCCGCCCAGCCAGCGACATCGGTCTCTACTAGCTTGAGTGGTATCTATGATGCTTTCCCCATCTACCAGAGGTATTAGAGCCTATTGTTTGGCGGGAAACGTCCGTAATTTTGCTCAGTGGCCTCCTTTGGAGACATGAGGTTCTTTTACGTGCCGTAAAGCTATGACACGGGACCCACGGCTTAAAGTCCCTCCCGGAGGACTTGTTCCCTGAATTTTTCCACCCTTAAAAATTCAACGACCTCCGCCGGGTATTTGAACCCGCGTACTACGAGTCATGAGGTGGGAACGTTACCTCTAAACTACGGAGGCCACTAAGATGCGAGGCCTACTTACTTACTTATGGAGCTGAGCCCTTCTTGAGAAGCCAAATCTGCAGCTACTCAAGAATTTCCCAAAGGTTCATTATCGTGTTCACAAGAGCTCTCCACCGGTCCCTATCCTGAGCCAGATCTATCCAATCCATATCTTTCCATCCTATCTCTCTAAGATCCATTCTAATATTGTCCATCCACCTATGCCTTGGTCTTCCCAGTGGCCTCTTTCCTTCTGGCTTTCCCACCAATGTCTTACACATATTCGTCTCCCCCATTCGTGCTACATGCCCTGCCCATCTCATCCTCCTTGACTTGATCATTCTAATTATACTTGGAGAAGAGTACAAGTTATGAAGCTCCCCATTACACAGTTTTCTCCAACCTCCTGTCACTTCATCCCTCTTCGGTCCAAATATTATCCTCAACACCCTCAGTCTATGTAAGATGTGAGGCTATGCTTCCAAATTACTCACTTTGATATATGTGTTAAAATTGAGGCATAGCTCCACAAGACCATTCTTGACCCGCATGAACAGACTGTAGAGCAGTGTAAGGTTGTGCACCCTGTTCTCCTCCAGCAAGCTGTCCAGACCCTTCTGGAGGATGGACGTCAAATGTTCTGACAGCAGCTGCTTTTCCACAGTGTGGATGAGTGGCCATCTGGATGAAACAGATACAAAAACACAACAAGCTCATAAAGTTAAAGGACTCAGAACAACTTATGAATATTCACGAAAAGCACAACATTGAATTCATACTTTGTAGCAGGGTCAAGGTAGTGCAAAAGTCTTTCATTTTCCTCATTGAGGCGTTTGTCGACATGGGCCAAATATTCAGGCACATCATGCTCTTGCATGAGACGCTGTCCTTCAGCTGCATATAACCGCTCAGTTGCTACAAGAAACTTGCTTTCAAATGCCTCCTGATAGATCTGCAAGTCTGACAACATTCGCAGGAGAGACTTCAATAGAGTCCTATCGACAGCATCACCTTGTCTCTCCTTCTCAATCAGCATGAGAAGGCCCTCCACAGTCCTTGTCTGTACCAGAGTGTTCATTACAATATGGTGCCGGAACAAATCCAATCCCATATCCCTGTAAAGACACATTTGCTTAAAACCTGTGGCCTGTGAACCAACAATTTTCAGAATATAAAAAACAATATATTTACATTCAAATTAATTTCCTACCTTACCTTCACATCCAACAGGTCATGAAATGCATGAACTGAATGACTGATCCAACCAGCCACCCATCTAAAGTTATTTTTCATTACCTAATGCATAGACAAGTCTGTGTTGGAATGTCATTAACATTAATTACTTTCAATACATATCCCAAACTGTTAACAGTACTCTTATCGCTGCAAGTTAACACAATGGGAAAAACTAACTGCAACCTCAAACATATAAATAACAACAATATAACTGCACTAAGCTTCAGGCAGCAGTAGAGTTATGAATAAGAATATGAGAGTGGAAACAATTCTGGACAAAGAAGTCTCTGTAGCAGCCCGAAACCACTTCACTCATAAGAAATGGAGTAAAAGTATTAATTAGGAAACAAATTTTTTCTGATGTTCAAATTCCCAAATAAATTTGCCTTCCTGTGTCCAATTAATGCACTTCAACTAAACCTTATCAAGAAATTAGACGATAAACTACTCACCAAATAGAATGAATGGTTGGGTTTTGGAGCACATATGTGCGATCTAGGTACAGAAAGATACCCCGGATCATGATCATCTGCTGACAATGTGACTGCCAACATTCATTCATTCGTTTAAGGAAAATTTGGCGATCCATTGACTCAGCCATGAACTGCTCAATATTTGCCTTCACATGCTTTTCTGTTAAACCTGTATATATATAAAGCCAAATTAACAAATCAATTCCCATCAAAAGCTCTTCTCTTTCTTGATGTAGTTACAAATTGGGTAACATCCTTGTACAACTTCCAAAAACACTTCATATGCAAAAAACTGCAACTGATATTTTATTGAATTCATCTGAATTTTCTATTACTTTGTGGGAACATCCCACATTATCACGCATTTCTGCAACGCTCGCTCTTCACATCACTTTTCACCATCACGCGCGCTAACCAATCAGATTGCTTCAAACGATCGCATTTATACTACGCTCGGCGATAGCCCGCGTCTACACCATTACGCGCGCTAGCCAATCAATTCTTGCTCCTCACTTTCGAGTTTGGCTCCGCCCCACCGACCAGCGTATAAAAAGGAGCGACCCCAGAGTCGAGTTATGCAGTTTCATCCAGTTTAATTCAGTTCATCAGACAGCAAGCAACTTCAGCCAGCAGGCTTCGTCGCCAGCGCTCGGTCTTCGGATACATCGGCAGGCTGCGCCGGGCACGACTGCCTCGGCCCTCCAGCGCTCTCACACCCGACTCACTGGGGCACAGCGCCTGGACTCGCCGGTGGTCGTGTTACGGTCCGACCCACTGGGCTTCTGGCGTAGCCACTGCCTCATGGCTCCTGCGACCGCGCTCGACTAGCCTTTCACCACCACCAGCAGCAACCGCCGCACTGCGATCGAGCAACCTCCATCACTTGCCGCACGGCAACCAAGCAACCAGCTGCCACGGTCGCACTGCGGCCACTCCACTCACCGCAACTAGCCTTTCTCCTTACCGGCACGCGCCGCGCTACCTCACCGGTCAAGCAGCAACAACAACCACGGTCCTTTTCAGGGCCAACAAATTGTTCCGAAGAAGTGGGTTGTCATAGGAGTAATGACAAGACTACACACACGTTAAGAGAGCCCCACAACTTAATTGTGCAAGGTTCATACAACTCTTTTTCGTGCTGTTGTATAGTTTCCTCATATCTATCACCAGTAAGTAACAACACAAAAATTTGGACATGTACAATATGAATATATAATATTCATGCTTGTCAAGTATGACCTTGGCACTCACTGTCTCTGACTACCAAGAAATATTCGATAATAAATAGAACACTAAAAATAAAATTAAACTAAGAAACAAGCCTTAACATTTCAACAGCAGTTCCTACATATTTATTTTGTAATTAAACTTGGACTTAGAAGAACAAAAACATTGGCCAAAGTCTAGCAATGGAGATTAAATTCTTTAAGTGTCAAATGATGTATTAAATTACAGATTACTGAATGTAAAGATACAAAAAGTATAGATTCAATAAATAATAAAATAGAAGAATAAAGATATACCAATTCAATAAATAATAAAACAAACTACTATATATGAAAATAGTTAAATAGTCTTTGCACAGAGGAAAATCAGACTCCTACAGCCTGCCTTTAACTATAAGACAAAGGGACATTGTAGACCATTTAAATGTTAGCTATGAACTCAGAAAAGATTGAGTCAGAGCCAAGAAGAGCAGCAGTGAAAGATGAGGACAAAATTATATAAACAAACTATGAAAACTGCTGTATAAAAATCTTCCTTTAAAGCTCACAGCTATTCAGCTGAATAAGAAACTTCCTGTCATTATAGAATTCAAAAGTTCTTTAATATGTTCATAAAAGCTTGCTAGTAAAATGTATCCTGAATCAGCTCATTTTAGTCCACATTTAACAACCTATTTGTGAACACTGGGCTGCTGTACTATCACGAGACAACTGAAACTCTTCATTGAAGGGCCTTCAGAGAAACTGTCCAGGTACCTACTGGCTGGCCTTGGACAAGAAACAATGAAAGCAGTGACTGTGATACAGCCTCGCCATTGTTCGTTCAGGCTGCACCTAAATATTATGGACCTGCCAGAAATCACAACGTGCAGGAAACACGAGAGGGAGAACAAATCCTCCTTATTATATATTCTGTCAATGTCCAGCTTTAGCTAACCATAGGTGGTAAGAAGAGGGCCTCAGTCAGAATATTGATGACTCTAGCATTATGGTAAGTGCTATGTGTAGAAAGCTGTAACAAGATCTGAGGGAACAATGGACCCAGTAGTATCTCGGTACTTTGGACAAGTGGGAAGTTATCACTCTTAAATCAACACAAAATAATAAGATCCATTTTAACATTAGTCTATCTCTGAGAAGGTCTAACAAATACTCTCTTCTCAATTCTACCTGTATTTCTTGTTCTCAATGCATGCTACAAGGTCTGCTCTTTTCTTCTTCAGGTAACCACTACATAAAAAGTTCAAATAAAGCCTTCATTAGAAATTTTCTCCATTCTTTTGCTATTTCATCTCTCTTCAGTTCAAATATTGTCATCAATCTGGGAATGAAAGACCAGCTTTAAAAAACCACTCTACACTAAGCAGCACTCCAAAGAATACTTACCAGTAAGATTTATATACAACGTTGAAGCCATTTTATGGTTACACATGTTCTCGACTGCTTGATAAAGCTCTTCAAGGCTATAACGGATAGACTTCGATGTCTGGATTGCTACTACTGCTTCCTTCAGCTTGTCCCAGGTTTGTTCTTGGTAATTGTCAGGCAGTTTGGGTTTCTCTGTAGACATATAACATACTCTTATAAGAATAAGATGATGCACTGAATTTCCAACTGTTGCAAATAAACATTCCTTTCAATGCCGTTTCATTCTTACTTAGTAACTGCTCAATTGTATCATGGAGACCAGCTACACTGACATGTTCCCATGCTTTCCCCCAGTCAGGCAAGGCAACTGCCAAGTTAGTACCTTCCATGTTACAATGTTCATCATTGTATGGGGTAACATTCTCACTATAGATCCCACACCTTCAGCAATAAAACCACTATTTGTGCACCGATGGTGATTAAATGTTGTGAGTACGTACTTTAGTCCCTTCGTAATTGCATTCCATCATATAAGGTGCTGAGAGTGGTTGCCCCCAGTGCTCATGCACAACCAGGTGCAATACTCCAAGCTGGCAAATATGCACTGTAACAGCTCTGCAGGAATGGCTGCAATTTCCTGGCAATGTATTTTTTTTTACCAACAGTGCTGGTGCAAAGGGTTGCTCATGTAAACGTTTTCCTTTAGCAGGGCCCCACAGAAAATAAAACTGGCGGGCTTATATCTGTAGACCTTTTAGGCTGTATGTCTTTTGAACTAATCCAGTCTCCAGAAATGGTTTAAACTTCCCTCATGCTTGCATCTGATGTAAAACATGATGCCCCATTTATCTTAAAATAGTCAGGAGCTATATATCCATCAGCCAGCTTGTTTACAACACAATGAAAATTGTAGTGTATAGCAGTCAGGTCTTTTGTGAAAGCCTATGCCATGACTCTTGAGACTGAAGCTAGCAGCTATTCCTTTACACCCTGCACCGTCTTATCAGACAGACTACAGCTCCTTGCATGCCAAACCATTAGGCTTGCTGTCATTTTCATCAGTATCTGAACACAGTATTTAAATTGCATTGACCTACCTCCATATTTGTTCCACAGTGCCCTCTGGGATGCTACAAAAGACCCCACTTACCATCTGTGTACAAACAAGGCACATATACTCCTCAACTGTGTACAGCTTCCCATCACAAACACGAAACAAACTGGCTATTGTATTGCTTCTGATAAAACACTCCAGGTACGGGTGGAACAGACGACTACAGTCTGAGCACTGACAGGACACAGTTTCACAAATGAGACAAGTACCTACATTTGATCATCATCAATGCATAAATGGTCTTACTGCAGAAAGTCTGGAGCCTCTAATGACAGGATCACTCAGTATTATACCTCAATTAATACTACATAACCATATATAATATAGCTGTCCCTAAGCTTATATAAGCACTAAGACATGAAGACATATGCTGGAGTGGAGGTAAAGCTCCACACTTTCATAACCTCAACACTAGACAAAGGTGTGTGGTCAGCTTCATGCACCTGCTGCTTTACCCCTGGAGAGAGAGCCACCAGTACCTTCAGAGAAGGAGCCTGGATGAGATTCGGAGCACGTCTGGATACTGAGATGACAAGAATCTCTCTACTCTGCCACGTATTGAATCCCATTTCCCAGCTTGCCCAGTCTGTAGTGCTGTCATCATACTAACTTCGCTAGCCCATCTCCAAGTTGGTAAGTGGTATTAAAGGAAAAAGAAACTAAGCAAAACAAATAAAATCTATTGCTGACATTTTATCTTCTCAGACAAGAGTCCGTTTGACATTCTCATTTATCTTCGCCCTTACAAGAATTCTTTGAGTTCCAACTTCAAGAAAGACAGGTACAGTCATGTTATTTTATGACTGTATCAAGGAGCATGGGAATGATAAGTGTGAACAACAAATCAAGTGATTTGGGAGTACATATTTGTGGACAGTTTTAAACCAGTTATCAGGGTATTTGCCTGGCAGGCTGAGGAAAGCCCCCAAAACATCCATTCCCAGACAAACATCAATACACATTACTGAACAAAGCCAAAATCCACAAACATGTAAACAGTGCCGAAACGTGTTTACAATAATCATCTGACTACTGCACTAAGAAAAACATCCACACATGAATAAAAATGTAAGTAATGGTAATAATTTCACCACACAAACCACTTATGTATATATTATCAATGACTGAAAACTATTTCAATATCCAGAATCACAGCCTTCCTCTGCTCACTATATGACATACTTTGCTTCATTTGTCACACAGCCCATTTTGCAAGTATTTCACACAAAAGTGACAGAAATGCCACATTTTGTGGACAACAGACAATATGTTTCAATGGTTGCAGGTTCAAGGCCCGAGAAGGTCATTGGATTTTTTCAATTGACCTAATCCTTCCAGCCACACTATGGCCCTTGGGTCAACTCAGCCTCTTAACAGAAATGAGTACCAGGAATTAATCAAATAATTTTCCTGGGGAGTATAGCACAGCCAGCGCGTAAGGCTGACAACCTTACCGCCATCCTTGAGCCAATTGTCTCGATAATGTGGGACCCTCGTCTCACAATCCTATGGGCCTTCACGGCCTGGTACAGGGATAGCTTTACTTTTACTTTCCTTTTTACTACTATTTGAGATCTGCGCTCATCCTTTATTATAATTATTATTATTATTATAATAACACAGACAAGACTCCACAACCATCTGCCTGTCTCAAACTTCAATGACACTGGGGCCATAAAAATAATGCATCAAGTCACAACTCTGTCCATCATTTTATTTTACAAAGAAACTCTTATATGGCCAGCAAAATAACAGAAATGTGTACTCCAATCTGGAGGATACAAGGATCCCAAATGCACGAAATATATTTAACAATTATGTCTCTCTCACTGATCAAGTATTTTATTGCACATTAAAACCCACTGCTGATACATTCAAAGTAATGATATTATACTGCTGGCAAAGCTAATCAATAGTGCAGATACTGCACTGTATGGAGCCAATTATGTGACTTGGATCTTATGCCATCTTCAAATTTACTGCACAGTGAATCACTTTGGGACACTTCATAAACGTTTCTTTGGGATTTGTCTGAAGTACAATAATGGTGGACTGATATGAACCAAAAAGAAAATTCACATAAAAATTTTAGTGTAGATATGCCATTCAAAATTCCATGTAAATCCAAAGAATAAAGCTAGAGATGAAAATACATATGGGTGCTACCATATGACTCTTCATTCTATGCACTTCAACAAATCTTGTGGTGTTATATTTTAGCGTCCTGTTGCACTGATTTAAGTCCATGATTTATTTAAACCGTCTTGCAGTGCATACACTCATTTATCTCCTTCTCTTTCTTGCACTACATGTTTCGGCATAACAATGCCATCTTCAGGTGCTTACTTATCCATGCCAAACCAGTTCATTGCATGCCTTGTTCTAATATTAAAATAACCAAAATATGTATCTATCATATACATTGTCAAACGTTGGTTTGGCGTGGATAAGTAAGCACCTGAAGATGGCATTGTTATGCCGAAACATGTAGTGCAAGAAAGAGAAGGAGATAAATGAGTGTATGCACTGCAAGACGGTTTAAATAAATCTTGTGGTACTGGTAGTCTTGTGTCTTCTTCAACCCCCAAAATTTATCATTGAAATTCTGACCTTTTACTGCCATTACCAAACACTTCGACTCTGCCACACACCCTCAAAGGATTTATTACCTACCTTCATATTTTAATTCTGCCTTAGATCCTGGTGATGATAAATAAACATGTAATTAGTTTCCTCAGCATTTACTTCCCAACCAACCTATTTACCTAATCAGTTTTTCTTTGTGGTATTTATGATACTTAAGATTTCACCCAATATTTTCACATAATCAGCCTTTCATTACAATATTGTGCACATATTTACAACAGACTCAATAACCCATGCCCAGATTATACACTTGGTGGATTAACCATGGTACTTCTAGAACTCCTTGGTTATTGGTTATAGCTTCATGTAATGAGTCAAGTGTTGCCCATTACACCTGTTTCTGAAATGTCAGTTATTCTTTACCACAATGATTTACAGCAGAGTGTACATCTTCTCACTAGATTGCAACTTTACATTTTATTAGTTAATTGCTCTTCATGCCAGCCTATTACACCAAACATGGACTGTTCTCTTCTGCTGGAAAAACACTTGTCTCGCTATTTACTGACCAATAGAATGACCAGTAATTAACAACTGAGTCTCAGGGTTGAATGCATTATGGTTATTCCCAGATTTTTGGAGTATCCACTGTTAACTTATCCAAACGTCTTCCCCGTTCCATTACTGCACATAATTGAGAGTTCACTGTATTGCCTAGTCACTATATCTTTTATTGCACTGTGGTTACAGCATTTATCAACAGATAATAAGTATATTAGAAATGTTAAAACATTCTTTTCTTACACAGACACACTGGGTTTTTGGACTTTGTCCATCATCCGGATTCTAAATAACTAAGAAAAAACACGTTTCAGAAACTGGATCTGTTTCCGTCCTCAAGGGAAGACACATACTCTGTTGGGTCTTTGTGTTTTTTTCTTAGTTACTTAGAATCCAGATGATGGACAAAGTCCGAAAACCCACTATCTCTGTGTTATACACCATCATCAGAACCCTACAGTATCATTCTTTTCTTGTATTTTGGTATATTTTTATACCTTTATACCAAATCCAAATTTTATGACTATTTAGGTTAGACAAAGTTAGTTTCACCTCATATAGTTGGAATGCATACATTTATCTACACCGTAACTCTGGTTATATAGTAAAAAATGACAATATTAATAACCATGACATGGAAAAGAATAAAGCTTCCTTACTCTAATTTGAGGTATTATCCCATCATTAAATCACAATGAAAGAGGACACAATAAAAGATCTCAATCATGACATCCACTGTCCAAGCAACAAACTGAACCCCAGTCATCACAAATACAAGATAGGATGCTATCAACTTGCAGGTTTAGTTACAGGCTCCACCCACTCCTGTGACATCATGTCATTTACTTCACCTATCAGCCCTTTCATGACAGATATTCAGACAAGTTTCACATTACTCTGTTCAACTTTTCACTTACAAAGTATAATCCTCATAAGATTTGTCAAAAAAAGGTCAAAGCTGTTAAGTTTTCATTTAATTTACTGCTGGACTAATACAGTACTTGGTAAATATTTTGTGCAGCATACAATCTGAACGCTGAACCACCAATGAAACTGAAAATGCCCCACAAAAACGCATGGATGCCATCACACAACAGCTACAATTTTTGGCGTGTTGTCATTATTGCTGCTGTAAAGCAGGAAATTCTACCAGTGTCAAAGCCCAGGTATAAATTTATGTGTCGCTGTCTTCAGTACCTTTACCGTCAATGTGAAACATTTATATGCTTATTGGTTAAGATGGGCTAAAATCATACCTTTAAAGTTTTTTATCACCAATTTCTTTGCTGCACCGGGTTTCGTATTTACTAAAGGAGATGTTTTGCTTACACCATTAGGATTACTAAGAGCAGAAAAGTTTGCTCTCTTTTGATTATTTTGAGTAGTATCAGTCATATTGTTGTCTTCTTGTTTCAATTTCTTGCTAATATTTTCACTGTTCGAAGAGTTTCTCTTTCTCCGGAAATTCACACGGTCCTCCCCTTGTTGGGCTTCATGGACTTGGGTCTTAGTAAGACTTGACATAGAAGTGCATGACACGGCCGTAGCCACACTCAGAGTATTTCTAAAAATTTGAATAATGGTAGGAAACAGATCTTACTGCATTAGAATTGCTCACCATTCACTGCAATGATCTCAAATATCTCGTCATGTACGCGAAACAACGAGAACGTTGATAACACACAATTTTAGACGAGAAACCAACAGAACCGAAAGATTCGTACTTTCTATGCCGACAACCACTGCCACCTATAATTTCACGTCTTAAATACGTCATTCCACAGGTTCCACAGGTTGAAAGTAATCGATATATCTGTAATCTCTGTTTTCACTAAGGTCCACACGTGCAACACCCGTGATACACTACGGGCACTAAGAGACATCTATTGGTAAATAAGCGCTCAGTGACGTCATATCCTGTAACGTAGTAACGTGGCGGATAAGTGTTAGGAGTGGTCTGTCAATTTCTTCGCGTTTTCAATTTCTTCGCGTTTAATGACTTGTGTGAGATATTTTTCGTAAGGACTGTAGTGTTAGTTCTCAGTAGTTTTTTAAGCGGCACAATGTCGTCTTCAGGAGATTTTGGAAACCCGCTGAGGAAGTTCAAGCTCGTTTTCTTAGGGGAGCAGAGTGGTAAGTGGGATGACCCTTTAAGATTTTAACCTTTTAAAAATTGTTGGAACGGAACTTCATGAGTAGAATAGTCATTGTAATACTTTAGTTTATGCATTTGTACAGAATGTGTTGTGTTCATAGGTTATTTTGGTTTTGTGTTTAAAAGATCATTTCGCAATTGACTGCATAATAAAGTAAGATTGTAGCATATTGCGCACTACCCATTTTATTACAGTTTACAAACTGGAATTCCGAATATTACCATTTTTATCGAAGTAATTAATTTTTAAGTAGCTAGTGCCTATGAAATTGGTTAAGTTTATTTATTTATTTACTTAATATCCATGGATCATTATACATGATATAGGACAAGTCAAGTACTTTACAATACAATGGATAAGAAGAACAATAATAGAATAAATAATATAATAATAAAATGATGATTCTAATAATAGAACTGATATAGCCGTTTAACACACAACACCGCTGTATGCTTCAAGACCCGGTCCTTGTATCCTGGTATACCCTGGTATCCTCGATCTCGTTCCTGTACGAAAAAAATACAGAACAGGGCAGTAGGCATTCCTATAACATATACAAATATTAAAATCTACAAGTTAATTATTGTTGAAATTATGTTTACAAGTGATTACAAGTGATTAGAACTAGGATTTGTCCCCAAACAAGAAAAACTAGTCAATACTATAGAAACAGTGATCAAGTAGGAATGTTTTCAAGTTCTTTTTAGACTCTTATAGTATTGTTATCTCTTTAATATATTGTGGCAGCTGATTTAACATACAAAGTCCAATATTATTGAAATTGTTTTTATGGCACTATGAACAAGTCCTCTTTTCTCCTTGTATTGTGTGAGTGTATTCCTGAATTGGTTATGAAAACATTCAGATTGGTTTTTATGTAAACTAGAATTTCATATATATACAGACATGGTAAAGGTAATGTATGTAACAATTTAAAATATTGTTTACAACTAATAGTTTTCGGGATTTGTATCATAGCTCTAATAGCTCTCTCCTGCAACCTAAAGATAAATTTTGCGTTTCCTGAATTGCCCCAAAATATCAATCCATATAATAATAAGGATTGAAAATAAGCATAGTATAAGGTGCGAACGGTCTCTAATGCTGATGCTCTTTTGACTATTCATAAGGCAAAATATATTTTACATAATTTATTTGCTAGTTGTTGAGTATGTGCAGACCACGTTAGATTATTATCCAACCAAACTCACAAAAATTTTGTATGTTCTGTATAATTAATGACTGTATCATATAGCTTAATTGATGGGCATTTGACTTGCACTTTTTGAGGTTGATGAAGGGATATTGCTATTGTTTTTTCTTTATTAACAATTAATCTATCCTTTCAAACCACTCTGTGAGTGCATTTATTGTTTTATTTATTTTCCTTTGGACATAATTAGCACTATTTCCTGCTATAAGAATACTAGTATCGTCGGCAGAAAACATTGGTCTTCCTTGTTCAGTGCCGGCTTTTAGATCATTGATATATGGCAAAAACAACACTGGTCTGAGAACAGAACCTTGTGGGACTCAGTGTCTTATGGGTCTCTTTCGCGATAGATGGCTAGTGATTTCATTAGTTTCTTTACATCTGTATGTAATTTCCACTTTTTGTTCTCTGTTTTCTAGATATGATTGAAACTATTTTAGTGCATCCCCACTTATTCCCATTCTTGTCACCCTCCTTAGCAATATATCATGATCAGCTAAGTCAAATGCCTTTGACAGATCCAGAAATATCCCTATACTTATTTCCCTCTCATCCGGTGATTTGTAGACCCTTTCTATAAACTCTGCAGTTGCAGTTTTTGTTGATTTCCCTTTACAGAAACCATGCTGTTTATAGTTAATTATGCTGTGATTATTCAAAAATGATAAAAGTCTTTTATGTATGATTTCTTCAATTATTTTATAAAAAATTAGTGAAACTGGTCTTTAATTCCCAACTTGTGTATCACATCCTTTCTTATACAAAGGTTTCACTTCTGCAATTTTTAGGTGATACAGAAAACGTCCAGTTGAGTGACAGATTTATTATATATGTCAAAGTAGTTGTTATTTTAGGATAACATTTTTTAATAATATACTCTGGAATATCATCTATTCCTGTTGATTTTTTATTACTCAATCCTTTAATTATCCCTGCCACTTCCTCTTCAGTAGTTTGGGTTAAGAACATGCTGTTACTATTATATTTTACTGTATTGACATTAACTTCATTGGTTTTTGGTAATGGATTGCCACCCAATATCTTTTGGGCAGTGCTGGTATTGTATTCATTAAAGACATTGGCTATAGTTTTTGGATTCTATATATTTACTCCATTCTCGCATATTTCAATATTTTTCGTTCCTTTTTTCTGTTACCTAGTTCCTCCTTAACTAGGTCCCACATGGCTTTTGATTTATTCCCTGATGCTCTTATTTGCATGTTATTAGTTAATTTTTTTGCTTCCCTGATAACTTTGTTGTATATTTTTTTTTGTAATGACAGTAGTATTCTTTAAATTCTTCTGGCACATTTCCTTCTTTCATTAGACTATTAAGAAGCCTGAGTCTCTTCACCGATACCCTTATTCCTGAGGTAACGCATTTATTTTCCTGCTGTTTAGTTTTAACCTGTTTTTTAGGCATAGCTATATTGTAATAATACTCTAAAGTATCTGCCTCCAAACAAATTATCCAGTTTCCTCCGGCCGGTCAAAGATAGCCTGGGACTATGGACACCGGGTGTATACAGTATCCCATGCAAGTGCGGCAAGGTCTATATTGGGCAGACGGGCCGCTCCGTGGACATGACGTTGAAGAAGCATCAGCAGCACATCCGTCTCGAACATCAGGACAAGTCAGCTGTAGCTGAACACAGCATCGATTTGGGACACCGCATTCAGCTTCAGAATACCTCCATCCTCGCCACCAAGACCCGATATATGGATCGCATCATTAGGGAAACCATTGAGATTGAACTCCACCCTGACAATATGAACAGAGAGGTGGGGGGTTTGTCTCAGCAAGTCATGGAAGCGTCTCATCTGTTCCCTTAACCCCCACCCCACCCCCAGGACATGATGCCAGATCCACAAGGCCACACAGTCCATGACTGACTCACATAGCAACCCCCCAGCTTAAGGGTTAATGCCCCCCCATTAACCTTGCCTTTCTCCCCCGACACAATATCCTATACCTGCTCTAACCTTGCTCCTGTCCGAGACCCTTCCCCTTTCCCTCACCACTGATTTCCCATGTAGACTTCTGCCTTCCTTCCCTGCTCTCATATAGCTGAGTTTATTTCCAACAGTCTGCTTGCACCTGTTCTCACTGTCTCTTCACTTGCTGGTTTTATTTTCCTTCTACCCTGAAGATGGAGGTGATACGTTCCTCCGAAACGTCGGTTAACACCACATCTACGTGGTGCCACATCCCAGAAGACTGCTTTCTTCATAATCACCGCAATGAAAACCTCACATCTTACATAAAAACAGTGTTGTTCTTTACTGAAACTAGAAGTATTGTTGTCACACAGAGGCGGTTTCATGCCTATTTTCAAATGCGATGGGCACCTCCAATCAAAACAATTCATAAACTTTATTACCAGTTTAGTAATGATGGTTCAGTGTTGGAGAGGAAATGTCACTGGCTTGCGTCTGTGTGTTCTCTGGAGAACAGAGGCACTGTCAGAATGGTGCTGCAAAAAAAGTCCCAGTAAATCAACAAGGAAGGCTGCAGCACAACTAGGGATATCCAGACAATTGGTGCAATGGACATTGAAAACTGATCTGAATTTGTATCCATACAAAATAATAGTGTTGCCTAAACTTAAAATTCGAAACAAAAATCAAAGAATGGCATTTGCTAAAGAGGTGTGGTGCAACAATGTTTGGTTTTCTGATGAGGCCTGCTTCCACTTAGATGGTGCGATTAATAAAAATATGTGCAATTTTGAGCATTAGGGAATCTACCTGTGATTTGTGAGAAGGTGCATTGTACACTGAGGGTCTGGGTCACCATCTCAAGTCATGGATTGCTAGGGCCAGTTCTCTTTGAAGATAGTGAACAGTGAATGCTATGTAAGCATGTTGCACAATACTTCTGTGCCTCACCTTCCCGCTACAGGTTTGCCATGACAAACTCACTGGTTAATGCAGGATGGAACCAGGCTGCACACAATGAATGTTATTTTGAACTTTCTGAATGGCACTTTTGACTCTCGTGTCATCTCAAACTGATTTCCTGATCATTTTGCATGTGGACAGAATTGGTCCTGGAATAGTCCTGATTTAAACCCATGTGACTAGTATCTTTGGGGAATCCTAAAGGAAAAGACTTTTCAGAAAAAGCCACAAAGAACAATGAAATTAGAAGCCCCACTCATTCAGGCCTGTAGTGAGATAACTGAGGATATGTGCCATCTTGTAATCAACATCGGTAGTCATAGTGAACTCTTGTTTCACAGAGGATAACTCTCCATGCAGTGGTCTTTCTTTTTGTCTGTTAGTTTGTAGTATTGTAATTGCAAAAAAGATTTTATTAATAAATCAAATACTGGATCATTTTGTGCATCACCTTCTGTATCTAAAAGGTGGCAAAATGGGAATAGTGCCTTGGGGTATATTTGGGTCTCCCTGTCACTGAGAGACATAAATACAGAGATCTGGTCCTTGAAGTTGGAGGCTGGATGCAAGGCTGATGACCTTATTCTGCAAAAAATGTTATTGTTGCAAAATCCAGAGAATTGAAAACCAGGTGATCTAATTTAAGACAAGTCTGGCAGAACATTCTAAGGAAAGCAATGACTCAAAAAGTGCTGTTTTGCCGGTGATGATGAAACTGATGTTAATATGTATGATTGCAGAAACTGATTTGCTCTTTTTCTCTTTTCAGTTGGAAAAACATCTTTAATTACAAGATTTATGTATGATAGTTTTGATAATACTTATCAGGTAAGATACTTAAACATTTATGTGTTGTATTCTGAAAGAGGTAATTTTCCTGTATTTAGATATCTGGGAAGACTATGGCCCATGGGCCAGCTTGATCCCTGAGTAATGTTTCCACTGGATTGGCAGATTTATGGCATGTGTTACTTGATGTGGGTATTTACAAATAGCACATTAATTCTTATGTATCCACTGTAGACGATATTGCAGGCAGTAAGTCATCTGGACCTAGGCAGTGAATCTTAAATGCAGCCAGTAACTTTCATGTATACTACAAGAAACCATGGGTAACCAATTTTAAGGTTTTTCAAGTTTTACATAAATTTTGGGGTTCCTTTTTCCTGCATACCCTGAATAAATTCAGTACCTAATATTTTTTACTTTCCAGTGAAACACTGACACAAACTTTTTTCTAAGGTTGAATGCAGTCACAGCAAATGTTTTCTGTTAGTGTGGTGATGTCTTTTTTTTTCAGAACTGCAGATCTGTGGCAGAAGAGCGTAGCAAACTTGCATTTAAAATATTTTTAAATATATAAAGGTAGAAACAAGATAGTGGTTTCGGTGTATACCATTGTTCTTTGATATGTAATTTTTTAGGTCTCTGAAAACATTTTGTAGTAAATATATACATATAAAGGACTATTAATGCCATCCAGTGTGACTGGTAAATGTTGTGTTTTTTAATCTTTCATCCTTTACATATTTTGGTCATAGCGACAATCTTCAGAAGGACATTGTCAGTACATATGGAAACTAATATTACAATATCATTATTCATTATCAGTACAATTATTACAATGTCATAGATATACATGTAAAATAGTATTCTTTAACAATTACTATGATGTGTATGACTTTGTTAAAACATTTATAAATTATTAAAATTAGTATATTTACAAAGTATTGTTTAAAAACTTTTTGTTAATATCTAGAACCAGTTGACAAACTCCATTTTAGCTCCAGATTTTGTCCTTTATACAGATGGTATATAAATAGTTTGTNCCCACCTGAGGATGGAAACAGATCCAGTTTCCAAAATGTGTTTTCTAGTTTCTAGAATACCAGACGATAGACAGCGTCCAGATTCTGAGTGTTATACATCATTATCAGAGCCCTTTGAATGTAAATGATTTATTGTTAATAAATGTATGTAAGTTAGGAAGTCCTTATTGAAAGTTGTAGAAATTTAAAATAAATTGTATATTACTTTCTTGAGTCTATACTCACCACCTCATGGTGCATATTTGGGTTGTAAATGCCAGTTACTCATTGTGCTTGTCCTCCACACAGTTATTTTCTTTTCTGTCTCTATAATCCTATATGGAACACTGTTGACACTCATATTTGAGAGGTACCTGGTTGTAATATTGGCCCTGACTGAAGTTTCTTTTGTTTCTCAGTCACTCCAAGAAAAGTGCTTGTATAATGTAGGTTTTTATAGTGATGGTTATGAATAGTCTTATCATCTGGGTTATAATAACAGACAACATAATGTTATATCCCAGAAAGCAGAACTGTTTAAATGCTTGTGTAATTCTTCAAAATGATGAAATGACCACAGCCATATTCTTCCACTTCATTTGTTGCACACAGTTCATTGCGATGTGACTTTTTTTTTTACATTTTTGAAACTTTGCTGCTGTTAAAATGTCGTTAAATGAAGACAAGGATTTAATGAGCTCCCTTGCATATGGAGATACAAAAGTATATAAGGTATGCCATCTACACCACAATATTCTGTATTTAAGAAACAAAGAAGACACTACTGTATCAACATTTGCTTTTATTATCCTTTTACAGACGCAACATGTTTCCACCCTTATACCGGGTCATCATCAGGCGTACAATGCTCCAGTATGAGCTGATGAATTACAATTAATTATCATCTAATTATTGAAATAAGGAGCCTTATTGTGTCTTGGAATTATTGAAATGTACATGGGATAGGTCATGTAGTCATGACCTTAATACTGTCTTACGGAGCTATGCTCGTTATTCAGTATGTGATCTGTAACAATTTAATTGTTATTATATCATAAGATGAAACTTAGGTTTTTAGGATATTTGGTATGTGTGCTTACATATATTAGGTAATTCTTATGAATGGTGTGTGTGGGCTGCTGTCTTTGTGAGTGCTGTCACTATGTTGTAGCGGTTCGGTCTAGACTGCCTGTTTGTGGGATATCTGCATATGTGGGCATGTTTATGGAGAGTCAAGTGGTATGAGGTAGGGGGGAGGATACTGTGAATGGTTGGGGAGATTGGGATGGGGTGGTGTTATTTGGTGTGTATTTACTAGAATATCAAATATCGGGTTATATATGTATCTGTGAACGTATCGTTCAACTGCAGACCCTTCTTTGTTATGTCATATATACATATGTATATCATTTCTCCAAAGTGTTGAGTTTGGGCCCCTTCCTTTCTATATGTAATACTTTCATGGTCTGGTCCATTGTGTTAAATGTACTTGTATGTCCCATTTCCAAAATGTGTAGTGCATATTTAGAGTGTTGTTTATTTGTCCTGATAGCATTGATGTGCTCTCTGTAGTGACCTCTGAATGTGTGTCCCGTTTGCCCAATATAATTGAGTGGGCGTTCACCGCATTGTAGTTGGTATATACCACTCTGTATATATCTCCTGGTATTCCTTTCAGATGGTGTTTGATTGTATTGGTTGTCTTGTAATCGGTTTTTAGGTTTGTGTTTCAAAATATATTAGTGATGGTTCTAGTTTCTGGTGCAAAATATGTGGAGGTGGTCCATTTTGTTTTTTCTTTTTGGGTATTTAGAGGTGTTTGTGTAGAATTTATGGCAACTTTATTTTGGTGTTGGAAATTTGTAGGTGCCCATTATTCTTTAGTATCTCATTTATAATTGTCAGTTCCCGGTCTTTATTTTCATGGGTGAGGGCATATGTGTTCACACAGTTCAATAGATGTATATTGCTGATTTTTTTGTGCTTGTTGGGGTGTTAAATGTTAATTTGTTGTGCTCCTTGATAATTGTCATGTCAAGGTAATTCTATTTTGTGTTACCTTTTCCATAGCAGCCTCCGTAGTCTAGGGGTAACGTTCCCACCTCGTGATTCAAGGTATGTGGGTTCAAACCCGGCGGAGGTCGTGGAATTCTTAAGGGCGGAAAAATTCAGGGAACAAGTCCTCCAGGAGGGACTTTAAGCTGTGGGTCCCATGTCATAGCTTTACAGCACGTAAAAGAACCTCATGTCTCCAAAGGAGGCCACTGAGCAAAATTACGGATCTTTCCCGCCCAACAGTAGTCTCTAACACCTCTGGTAGATGGGGGAGGCATTAAAGATACCGCTCAGCTAGTAGAGGCCGATCTTGCTGGCTGGGCGGGACTGATGGTAAGCACCAGTACTGGTAGGATATAGAGACTGCTAGAATATCATAGAGGGAAGCACAATGGACCAAGACAGGTCTAAGTGCATGGGGAAACCAACCCTCTCCAATAAATAACTAGCTAACTACCTTTTCCATTGTGAATTTTATTTTATGATGTACAGTATTGAACTCTTTTAGGGTGTTTTCGATATTCATGTGTAGTTCATGGTATACAATCAATATATCATTAACATATTAGTAGTAGTCTATGATTTGCTGTTTGTTTTGTATCTGCAGAACTTTATATAAGTAGTGACCCAACATTGTGTTTTCTGTTACAGGCAACCATAGGAATAGACTTCTTATCAAAAACAATGTACCTTGAAGACAGAACGGTGAGTACCAGGATTATTTTAATTGCAGGAGTCATTATTTAAAGGGGCAAACGTTGTAGTAAATGGAATATTATTTGGTGACCTAATCTGAGAAAAATGTTAGAAGTATGTATGGGGCAGGTTCGCTCAGGGCAGTGGTGGAAGAAGTCTTAAAATATAAGTTAGATTTAGCGGGAGTACAGGAGGTCAGGAGCTTCATAACCTATACTGTTCTCCAAGTATAATTAGAATGATCAAGTCAAGGAGGATGAGGTGGGCAGGGCATGTAGCACGAATGGGGGAGAAGAGGAATGATATAGGATATTGGTGGGAAAGCCAGAAGGAAAGAGTCCACTTGGAAGACCAAGGCATAGGTGGGTGGACAATATTAAAATGGATCTTAGAGAAATCAGATGGGATGTATTGGATTGATCTGGCTCAGGATAGGGACCAGTAGAGGACTCTTGTGAACATGGTAATGAACCTTCGGGTTCCATAAAATCCTGGGAAATTCTTGAGTAGCTGCAGATTTTGCTTCTCCTCAAGAAGGGCTCAGCTCCATAAGTAAGTAAGTAAGTAATTAATCTGAGAAAAATGGGGTAAATGAACAAACCATTTAATCATTCACAGAATTATAAATAAATTCACTGTTGTGTATCGACATTTGTAACATTTGATATTGTAGATCTGAATTCTTATCAGTTCAGGAATAACTTTTGCTTTCTTAGCCTCTCTCTATCACTAAACCAATTGAGTTGATAAGGTAGGCTCTTTTTGACATCCTGTAAGTACATGTACTTGTACATAAAAGTGAAACACTTTTATGGCCAACTTAGTTTTTTCAGAAGTCATACAGTTTTAGAGGCAGTCAAACAAAAGGATGTTATGCACCTAACTTGTGTATTCAGCACTCAGCAGTGGTCTTCTGAACACATGCTAAGATTTCCATTCAGTCATCCATGGTTTTCCAAACATGCACAGGTTACCCAAATCTTTTATTATGAACAGTAACTATGAGGGTCACTCCAGAAATAATGCACAACATTTTTTTAAAAATTAAATTTTTATTCTAGACTTTTACTACTTATACAGTATGTTGATACAGCCTTTAGGAACAAAATATAACTTCTCCACATAATCTCCGTCCCTTTCAACTGACTTGCGCCACCTTGGAAGTAGGGCCTGTATACCAGCACGGTAAAACTCTGGACCAGAGTCTGAGCCATCATTTAGTTGCCGTAATGAGGGCATTATCATCTTCAAATCTTGTTCCACAAAGGGATTCCTTCAGTTTACCAAAGAGATGACAGTCAGAGGGTGCCACATAAGGGCTCTAAGGAGGGTGTGGCAATGTTGTCCATCCAAATTTTGTGATCTCATCCTTGATTTTCTGACTGGCTGGTCGGGCATTGTCGTGCAACAGCAGAACATCCTGTTTCTGCCGATGTGGTCAAGCATGACTCAGTCAAGCTTGAAGTTTCTTTAAGGTTGCCACATATGCGTCAGAATTAATGGTGATTCTTTGTGGCATGATGTCCACAAGCAAAAGCCCTACTGAATTAAAAAAGACCATAGCGATAACTTTTCCTGCCGAAGGCTCATATTTGAATTTCTTTTTCTTGGGCAAATTCACATGGTGCCATTCCATTGATTTCCACTTTGTTTCTGGTTCAAAATGGTGCAGCCATATTTCATCTCCCGTCACAGTTCCTGCAAGAAAGTCATCTCCATCATTCTCATACTGTGCCAAGAGTTCACCACACACACAGTTTTTCAGGTTTCTTTGTGGGCATCTCTCCACATCCTCAGAACCCACTTTGCACAAACTTTTTTCAGCCCCGAAAAACAAAAAGAGAAACACTCCATGTCCTGTAGTCCGCAGGCAGACTATACCGACCGAGCGTCTGACATTTGTAGACTAAGTTAGTGCCAACTTTTGCAGATAGACGGTGTCGCGTGGTCAGCACAATGGATCCCCATGGCCGTTAATCTTGGTTTTCTAGACCGTAACCGGTATTCCCTTGAAATAGCTCCTCAATTATCCTCATGAGGCTGAGTGGACCCCGTTTTTTTCAACTCCACCTCTTTCAATATTCTGCACACACTTGCAGAATACTTGCACAGTTCCCAGTTGGACTGTCATTTCTTTCACAGTCGCACATCTGTCCTCCAAAACCATATTGTTAACATGGTGCACATTGTCAGGTGTTTGTGCAGTGTGTGGTCTGCCGATGCGAGGAGAATCCCAATATTGGCGTACCCCCTTTCACCAGATAATCTGTTTGCCCACCAACTAACTGTACTGCGATCGACAGCATCATTTCAATCTCTTGCAAATGTTTCCCACTCTCTCATTCTCACAACACAAGAACTCTATAACAGCACATTTCTTTTGACGAACATCAAGCATAGCAGCCATTTTGAAGGAGTGCTGTGACAGTGCTATGCATGGGAACGGGTTGAATTAAATTTGCATACAAGCGGGAAGGATCCTTCTATGCATCCTACAAATAGCAAAACTGTAGAATAAAAGCTGAATTTTTAAAAAAAGTTGTGCATTACTTTTGGAGTGATTTACATAAATGAAGCATCATCCCACATGAATCTATAGTTCTACATACATTCGCGTGCACATGCACTCACAGAGTGGCCCAGGAAGAAGGGTCAGTATTCTGGGAGGTCACAGTATGATCATTCTAAGCAAAAAAGTGTATTTGTGTATGTGTCTTCTTATGAATGGTTTTTGAGATAGAGCTCTTTCACTGTGCAGTAGTTGGATTTGGCACCCAATATTGTCCTTCCATTCTGTTGTACTGCACCACTGTCTGAAGCATGTGAATCTGTGTGACACGTCAGTTGGCTGTTGTGACTGTTTATAGTGACATATGATTTCATCTGAAGAGGCACATCAGTAGCATGTGGAGGAACAGAAAAATATTCTTGAAATGGTACAGCATATCCCTAATACTAGCATGTGAAGACTTTCTACATGTCTCAGTGTTTCACGAACATTTGTATGGTGAACATTGCATGATGCTTGTACCCATTTCACCCACAGCATGTGCAAAATCTGCACCCAGGGGGCAGTGCCATGTATCTAGAATTTTGTCATTGGTTAGATACTAAGTCCATGATTTATTTAATCCGTCTTGCAGTGCATACACTCATTTTTCTCCTTCTCTCCCTCGCACTACATGTTTCGGCATAATAATGCCATCTTCAGGTGCTTACTTATCCACGTCAAACCAGTTCATTGCATGCCATGTTCACACATTAAAATAACTAAAATATGTATCTATCATATACATTGTCAAACGTTAAAAATATTAAAATTGTTCAGGATACCACATCGCTACNCGACGTAGCGATGTGGTATCCTGAACAATTTTAATATTTTTAACGTTTGACAATGTATATGATAGATACATATTTTAGTTATTTTAATGTGTGAACATGGCATGCAATGAACTGGTTTGACGTGGATAAGTAAGCACCTGAAGATGGCATTATTATGCCGAAACATGTAGTGCGAGGGAGAGAAGGAGAAAAATGAGTGTATGCACTGCAAGACGGATTAAATAAATCATGGACTTAAATCAGTGCAACAGGACGCTAAAATATAACATAAGGTTAGATACTAACTGTCAATTGCTTCCATTAATACTATTCACTGGTGAAGCTACTTTCACCTGTAATGGAATCAGCAACACATATAAATTGCCTCAATGATCTCATGACAATTCACATGGTATTGTGAAAACAAATTGTCAGCATCATTGCTCTGTCAGTGTGTGGTGTAGTTTGATCAGTTACATGTTGATTGGTCCTGGTGTTTTAGATGATTATATGAAAGGACATATTTACGTAGACTTTCTGCAAAGGGGATTAACAGAATAACTAAAGGATGTTCTTTTGGCTACATGGATTGCTGTTTCCTTTCAAGGTGACCGAAACCCTTCTCATTGATGCAATATCTCAGTGACACTTTCCCTAATAGTGGGATTGGTTGTGACAGTACCAGTGTACAGAAGAAAAATGTATACACAAGACAAATTTCTCTACTACATAAAGGTTGTTATGGCCCACATTAAGGAGTGTCAAGATGCACTCAGAGGAGCAGCATGCCATGTCCTCACATGAGTTGCAAAATGCATTGATGGTGACAGTGGAATTTTTGAAAATGTAATTAACTAAGTAAACTGTACCAACTTTGTCACATGAGCAATAAATACCAGTATTAGAAACAGTATGTATATTGGAAACCGTTCAGAATAGGACATGTGTACATATACACTTTTTTGCCTAGAATGACCAGTACTATGACTTCCCAGAATATTGACCTTTCCTCCTGGGACAACCATATACAGGGTGTCCCAGGAGAAATGTGCCAAACTTCGGGAGGGTGTTCCTTATGTTAAAGTGTGCCGATATAACCCAAAACACCTATGTCCAAAGTTGAACGGTTATGGAGATAATGGCCCGAGAAAAGTGTGGTCTTCTGTTGGGGCCACGCACTATACCTGTCAGCTGAGACGTCTTATCTATGTTTGTCCTTGAGTGTGTTGATTCACACTAGCCCTAAGCTCATGCGCCACCTACAGAGTACGTTGTGGCCAGGTCGTGAATGGTTGGTAAATTAGTTTTGTGATGAGTTGCTGAAATGCCTCTTGTGTTTTCACACGTGGAATATTGTGATATGCATTTTGTGTGGATTTTGTGGTGGCAGTGCACGTGCTGCTGTTGAAGAATACCAAAGGCGTTTTCCCAATCGAAGGATTCCATCTCGAAGTGTATTTACGCGAATTCACCAGACATTGCCTGAAGCAAGAAATTGTATGTGAGTTAGTCCTTCTCTACATGTTCCCCCTGCAAGGCCACACATGATCATACAAGGTCTCATTTTGACTGTTTAGGAAGTCCTCCACCGCAGAAATTACATCATCATCTTGGAATTGCTTACCACAAAGTAGCTTCTTTAGCTGTGGTAAGAGGAAGAAGTCGCTCAGTGCCAGGTCTAGTGAATATGGTGGATGGGAGAGAATTTTATATCCCAAACTGGCAGCACATGTCAGGAAGAAGTCGCACACCTTTTCCCAGCATTCTATGTCGCTTTTTCTTGATTTCCTCCCATAATTTTCTGAGATTGTTCTAGTAGTACTCGCCAGTGATTTTGGCCCTTTTGTGCTTGCGTGTAGTCAGTCATGATGACACCCCTCCGATCCCAGAACACGCTCAACACCACCTTTCCTGGCAACGGCTGGGATTTGGCCTTCTTTGGTGGTGGCGAGTATGCATGTTTCCACTGCTTGCTCATTTCCTTTGTTTCTGGGTCGTAATGATAGACCCAACATTTATCCATCATGATCAAGTAGTCAAAGAATTCCACCTTTTCATATTGACACAACTGCAAAAGCTTCTTTGCCACATCCCTCCATTGCTGTTTTTGAACTGGTGTCAACAATTGTGGCACCCAACACGCAGCAACCTTTGTCATGTGTAACTCATCATGGATGATGCTGAAAACTGACCCATGGCTAATGCGGACCTCATGAACAATATCTTCAACAGTTATGCACCTATCGAATAGGAGCAAAGCTTCTACCTGTGCCACAAATCCCGGTTCCTCAGAGAGAGATGGTCTTCCACTTCGGGGTACATCTTCGAGGTTTGTCTGTCCACAATGAAAGCGCCTCTTCCACCTGACCACTGTGTCATATGACGGTACACCTTCCTGATACACAGCGGTCATCTGGTCGAGGATCTCCCTGGCAGACTTCCCTTGCAAATGCAGGAACCGTATCACAGTGCGAGCCTCCATTTTCTCAACCAGCGTCACTATTTTGCTTGTGCCCCTTCCAATGGCTCCCTCTGTCCACTTGGCATGGGAAAATTTGACTGTTCAGCAAACTCAGGAAATGGGCTATCTCCTTTATAGAACGATATTTTGGAATTATAATTTTCTCTTGGTGATAATTAAGACATGATTTCCCATAGTATTTCTGCCATTGAAATTTAATTATCAAATAGTTATGATACTTTAAACCTGCTGTGGGGTTTAACCATTCATGTTGCTTAATTGGATTAAATTGAGCTTATTATCAATCTTGCAGCTTGTATCTAGTTTTTATTTTCAAATTACCAGTGGCCTACAGTGACCTTCTGACTGCCAAATTCTAAGAATTAATATAGTCACGTGTGACCTGTATGACAAAATGAGCCTATATTACAGTTCACATACAGGAATGGGGATATCTCCCCCATTCCTATCCACAGTACACGTCAGGACATATGTAAACTTGACATTCATAATATATAGTGCCTGAAATTAATGAGCAGGTGCAGTCTCACCAGTTTAAATAAATTTCAGCTGACAGCGAATAGTTGCATGTGAATTTAATGTTTGTTTATTATAAGGAAAGAGTTCATCATAGTCTTAATTATTCAGTTTATTCACATCTCTTTCTCTCATTAGCCACATTTTCATTTCTTGAAAACAATTTTAAGAGCATGATGGTTAGCATGTCGTTTATAATTCATTCTCTGTATCAAGTTTCTTAAGCATGCAGTCAGTACTTTTATAATCTTTGTTTTTATTTAAACAGGTTCGGCTCCAGCTATGGGACACAGCTGGTCAAGAGAGATTTCGTAGCCTCATTCCATCATACATCCGGGACTCTACAGTTGCTGTTGTTGTCTACGACATTACCAGTATGTCATGTCCCAGTACATGGATATTATAATTACTGACATACATTTTAGTAACATTAATAGGACAGGCATAGGTGCATTTCAGTAAGAGTGTTGTAGTTGTTATCCTTTGGTTTGATAATGATTTCTCATATCAGCACATAGTTTGACTTTTGTTCAGTCACATGTAGGGAGAAATGTAACTATTAGGCTCAATTTTTTTTAAATAATATAAAAGTATCCAAAGTTGAAGTTATTTTATACCTTTTTGGTTGAAAATAATTAGCTTTCCTATGTTTATTACCATTAACCTTCTGTGTAGTATACAAGAAATGGACATGTTTTTCAAAAATAATTGTAGTACATGTCCTCTTTTACCAGAAAGGGAAATAGATATTTAATATAAGAGTAATTGAATCTTAAACCAACCATAGAGTCTGATTAATTCCCTCCAATTGGTACTGAGGGACTTTTTCCATCCCCAAACTCTACAGGACCATAAAAAAAATGTTCAGGAATTGCCAAAGATCATGCAAAAAGTGGTGCCAAAATTGAACAGAACTAGGATCAGTCTAGTAGATTCTAAAGGGTTCTGATGAAGGTGTATAACACTCAGAATTGCTGGGTTCCCTCTGTACAGTCAGAGTGAGACTGCTGTTCTGACCTTCAGAGTCCCTTCTGTGTACTGTACAAATCTCAAAAACATTTTGATCAGTTACTGTAGATGACATAATATTGTTAAATAACAATTGAATCTATACTCGTATTTCATACAGTGATAGAATTATTTTGGTTGTGCAGATGCTAATTCTTTTCATCAAACATCAAAATGGATTGATGATGTTCGGACAGAGCGTGGAAGTGATGTTATTATAATGCTAGTTGGCAACAAGACAGATTTATCAGATAAGCGACAAGTAGCAACTGAGGAAGGAGAGCGCAAGGCAAAAGAACTCAATGTCATGTTCATCGAAACCAGTGCCAAGGCTGGCTACAATGTAAAACAGGTGACTGAAAGTTGTTCCTAGAACTGCTTGTTTTGAAAATGATGTAGTATCCGAGATATAATGCATTTGTTTTCTGTCACTTCCATCTGGTGATAAGGTCTAAAATACATCACACTCTACCTACATGTCCACTGTATGTCTTTATGACATACCTGTGTGGGCACAGGAGGAACTAATCCTTTCATTATATATACATATATAGCACCATTCATGGTATAAAGTGAAACTAAACACTGGAAACAGATGGTAATGCAAAGAGAGTGATGGTATCTGTTGTAATTTGTGTTTGTTTATATAACGGAATTGTGTGCTGTATACATGTTACTGTGTCAACTACAGACATTGTACAGTGCCAAATGAAGTAGAATGGATTGATTATAAGTGATTAGGAATCAGAAATGATGTAGAAAGAAATGATTGCCTGTTTAAAGGACCAAAGAAAACTGTGAAAACCTTTGCCAAGCTAATGAATGCATATATGGGATTTGAACTGAGGACCTCACAGATGCAAGTCAGAAGTCAAAGTATCTAGTATATGATCAAGATTCTGCCCAGGGATTGGGAGATTTGTGTGGTAAAATATGTGAACTTCTTTAACTTAGTTCATATTTTGCAGCTGTTCCGGCGTGTAGCAGCTGCCCTACCTGGTATGGACTCCACGGAAAACAAGCCTCCAGAAGACAGTATCCTTTGTTCAAACAGTAAAGAGTTGTTCCTTGTCATATCAATGGCATTAATGATTTTTTTTACATATATGATTGTCATAAACCTGTCATGCAGAAAGTGTGAATCAGTTTGCTGATGGTGCATTGGTTCAGTTTGGGAAGAGTGGTGTACTGATACTAGCTGGCATTAAAACATCAGTTCTTAGTATCATGTGTCTACTAAGTAAATTATATATAATCTATTTAGTACATGCAGGATGCATGCATATATGCATTCTCATAGGACAAAGTTACTGTGTAGTGAAGAATCTAGTGGTGCAACAGTAAAAATCGTTTGTTATGCTCTGGCATGGTAATGTTTCCAGCTACGTACACACATTGGATTTTGCAGCATTCTAGAAATCTTGAACATTCCTTTGAAAATGATCCTTTTCCCCTCCTTGTATGTACCTATTAAGCAGGAAAACATTTTCTGCTTCCTGACCTTAGACATCATTCTGGCATGCTTCTGTATGTCAAGATATTGGGGAACCAACAGCTATGTCTAAAATGATTTTCCTCCAAGTAAACCAATGTTCATTGGCCCTTTGCAGCTTGTACTTGAATCTAGCAAGATATTATTGAGCAGTGCTAAACAGCCTTTGGATCATGTGCTACTTGCAGATTACATTTGTGAACAAAAACTAAAAGTATTAATATTTACAAATGTTAGTATATTGAGAAGGGGAGTTAGTGTCAGAGGAGCAGTGTCAGGTTGCCATTGACATTCTTCTGCCCATTAAATTAAAAATGTAAGAAGTTCTAAGAACATTTATCATCATATTATTACTTTCTCATATACATAGCATAGATGAGAAAGTATTGTGATTGTAAGAAAAAGTATCTTGAGATATTGACATGTTTACATGTTACTTTATGGTTGGACAGATTTTATTCATAATAAATATTATAGGTTATAGGTCATTGCCAGGTGAAATGAACAATCTAGGTCCAAAAATTGAGGCACTCAAATGGGCCCCAAAAGCAAAAAGGTAATTTTCTTGAAAAAGGCTCTTGATGATTTTGATTACATTCAGTAATTTCTGGAGACCATCTCCAGAACTACATAGGTGGCCAAAATGTTGAGTTTGTCAAAACCAGCTTTACAAACTGGACAGATTTCCTTCTTTGTCAGTATTCAGTAACCAGTAATGTTCTGCCAAACAGCAATACAATTATTGTTGTCATTTGGTTTTTAAATTGAAAAGGTAAGCTGTTTATTCATCACCCTTCATTGCTTTGTATGAAGGCCTCAGCAGCTTCTCAGAACTCTTGGCAAGCTTGTCCATCTTCAGAGCCATCTGCATGGGCTTGGGGGGGGGGGGCCTAGCATCTATACCTGTCAGCCATGTCCATGACTACAGCCTATCATTGTCAGTTGCTTGATAAGCCACCCACTTGACATTTATTCTGCACACAGGTGTGTCTCTCTCTAGCCAGAAGAACCTTGGGTGTGATAGTTCCACAAACAGAGGACTCGGCCTTTTCTTTGGGTGTGCTACTTGCAGGCCTTGGCCTCTTGGTGATCCCAGTCAGGGGTTTTCCCTGTTTAGTGTGTGTGTGTGTGTGGCCTGATGCCTTGTTTGTTGTGTGCACCCCAGTTCCTCCTTTGTTTACCCAAGCTTTTATTTTTGTGTAGTGCATCAGAGAATTTGGTCTTCCCTAGGTGAAGCCTGCCTACTCCTGAGGCCCTGTGTCTCAAAACGTTTTCGTTCTCTAGATGTGCTAGAGCAGAGATATGCTAGAACTGTGGGCTCAAGAGAGAGGTCTTTGGTGTTACCACAGGTGGATGTCTCAACTGGTTTGTCCAGGGACAGCTTTTTACAATAGAAAAGGGTGCTCCTGGTTTTCTTATTTAGCGAACACACACGACGTCTTTGTTTCCCTGGATGGCCAGTGTTGGGAATGTTTCACCTTTAGTCAACTCATTGGGGCCCCAGATGAAATTGGCCTCCCCCAAGAAACACCACCGACTGTAATATTCATGTCATGCGACAGTACAATCAAATCTCACGCTAGGATTTCGTGGAATTTTTTATGTGTCATCTTTCAACCACGTGACTGTACTGTGTGTACTGCATTAGATAAATTAACATTTTGCTGCAAAGGAGTGTTACTTGCTGTTAGGTATTATCTAATATTCATAAGTTAAAGGTTAATGATAACTTCATCTTTCCTAAGTGTGCAGGCTGTGTAGGTTAAGTATGCACCCTCTTCAGAGCCAAGAATGACCTCTCTTCAGATGTACTAGTTATTGGAGTGGCTAGTAACAGGTAATTATGTGACTTTTGCAAATACTGTTCTTAGATTTGAAGAAATAAAATATTTGAACAGGCCTGAAATGTTACTTAGTAAAAAAGTCTTCCACTAAATAGGTAATGGAAAGTTCAGTTTTCAGAGGAAGAGCATCAAATTACCTTCCATTTCAATATGAGTCATAAACAGTAGCTGGCAACTTTTCAGAGTAGTGTTTAAAGTTTCCAAAGTGTAGAATTGAAACAAACTTTAGTTTACTATAGAGAATCAGTTGGTCAGCTGTCCTTTCATAGTGTTGAATATTCCGCAGCACAGCCAGTGATAAGAAGTTTCTCAGTCATTATTAATCATTGAGATTTGTTGCCTCATAGCCACAAATTCTGAGCGTTCTATATCTTCCTCTGAGGAACTGTCGTTTACTGACTGAACATTTTCAAAACTGTTGCGTTTCTCTGTTAGAAGACATTCTGAAGTTCTTCCAATACTTTGACTGATGTTTTACTTTGCAAAATTTTGAAAAAATTTTTTGGCTTGTGATAGTATTTCTGAAAGGACTGTCAAATAAAAATTTAAGTCAAAATCTTGCAGAATATAATGAAATCCTTGAGCAGATATGCATGTTTCACTGTCCCATTTATCCTTGCTTCAGTTGGTAACATGATTTATGAGTTGCAGGTGAATGATGTGAGTTAATATTTGTCTTTTGGCTAACATATTGTCATGTATAGGGTGGTATGCATGATTAAATGACAGGTTCTATTTTAGATGATTGGATTTATTAACACTTTTGATACAACCTCACTTAATCACACTCAAGTTGCAGCCCTATTGCTGATTCACACACACACACACACACACACACACACACACACACACACACACACACACACTGTTCCTCTCCTGGTAATGCAATTAAAACACTGGAACAAGTGCCTGAAATCACTCTACCTACAGGGTCTGTCAGGGAGGTGTGATGGTTTTCAAAAAACTAGTACACAGTTATTTTTTGATGAATAGCAAATTTTAATGTTTTTAAAGAGTACATGTTCAAGTGTAATGCCAATTAAAATGCTGTGACAAAAAATAAGAAAATTTAAATTCATTTTTGGAAAATAACATCATGCAAATGGTGGCCGTTATTGTCCAAGCATTGTTGCAGACGAGCGGAAAAATTGTCCATAGTTCTTTGAAGCATAGCAAGTGGGGGTCGCTCGAATTTCTTGGGTGATGGCATCTGAAAGGGCCTCAAGAGCGCGTGGTTTGTCGATGTAAACCTTAGCTTTCAGGTACCCCCATAAAAAGTAATGGCACGCCAAAAGATCTGGGGATCGAGGGGCCACTCCACATCCCCACACTTTGAAATGAGGTGCCCAGGAAAATGTTCTCTCAGTAAGGCCATTGACTCTCTTGAGGTATGGCAAGTAGCCCCATCTTGTTGAAACCAAACTGTACTGAGGTCAATGTGATGTTTTCGCAGTTCAGGCAGTAAGAACTCGCACAACATTGTCACATAACATTGTGAGTTTACTGTTATAGTGCATCTGCCTTTCATTAAAAAGTAAGGCCCAATTACGCTGAATCGGGCCATTCTGCACCACACAGTGACTCGCTCGCAATGTAAGGGTCTTTGATGGAGTTCTTGGAGATTGTTTGCCAACCAATACCAGAAATTTTGTTTATTGACGCTTCCTGTCAAGTGAAAATGCGCCTCATCACTTCCAGCATTCTTTCAGGAAACGTAAACCTCCATATGAAATTATTCTGCTGCAGTTCTTGAACCACCATGATTTTGTATGGGTGATAGTGAAGGTCAAAGTGTAAAATTCGGCAAACTGACCTCTCTGACATCCGTAGAGCGTGAGCGTGCCGTACCGTACCGCTGGCTGACATGGGCTGGTCTCCACAGCTTGTCAAACTCTTTCGATGTTTTCCGGAGTCCTGACGGTTCAATCGCCTCCCAGAGCTGTACCTGGTCTCAGATCCAGTTGTCCTGAAGTTCTTCACCCACTTCAATATTGTGTTTTGAGACGGAACAGCACCTTGTCTACCAACATTGAAGTGAGTATGAAATCTGTGCTGTGTAAGTAGCACCGAACTACCTGTTTGAATAAACGTCTCAAAAACAAAGGCACAGTGTTTAGTCTTCCACGGTTCCATGGCTACTGAAATGGTGTCTAAAACAGCAAGTAACTGCCAACCATTGCCAAACTGCCCTAGTCCCCCTACTCCAACTTTTATACCCATCACAAATACGTCACACCTCCCTGTCAGACCCTGTATTACACGTGAATAAAGTCGTCTAATCACATATGACGAACTTTCTTTGGCTATCTTACACCGAGAACTCTCTCACTGTCATTTAAACACTTCCTTGGTTATTCTTGGAATCTTGTTATAAAGCCTTCACACCGACCATGCACAGAAAACAGGCTCTATTGTTTTAAAGGATTGCATAGCAGCAGTCTCAGTGCCGACCACATAGAACACACCTACTTCTGTTGTTGCCTTTTGTGTATTTGGTCATGAGGTGTTTGACAGTCAGTTACCTAGCAACACTCTGGCCATCCACATTACAATATGAAGCTTGCAGTAGCTTTGAGTGTCAAGCACTCCATCCTCTGCTCAGGCCCATACTGTTTTGTGTCTGTTGTAATTGTGCCTGTACCCAGGAACAGCCAATGTAAGTAGTGCATAAGTGGCTAACAAGCCTATGATTGGATGGATGGAAGAGGCATATGATATATTATGTAATCATTTCTCTTCCTAGTATGTGGGATACCATTAAACCATGAATGTAACTGTCTGTTTCATTTTTCAACGTGTTAGTTGGGCTAACAGAGCTTAACACCAGTGCTCTATATCTCTGCTGTTGTGCATGGATTGTACATAGTGTCTTGTGTAGCTTTTGGCATCTGGAAGTAGGGGCTAGCTCTTGATTGGGTCCAGGGCAGAGACAGGGTCCAGTCTCTGAAATATCATTTTAAATAAAAATTAGGATGATGGATCTTAATAGTTTGCACCCTGTTGTGTGTATGATCAGTGAGATACACTTGAAAAATATTAAATTTTTCTGTATTGATAATGGGTGGTGCTGCTGTATTTGGTTGTTTTTGTGCAGTCTCTTCAAGTTAAACATCCGAGATGTGTAGTTACACCTACCTCCTTTTAGGTGAGAAACAATGTGTATGCCACCATATAACATTTCTGTCATGTGTTGAGGGATGTTTGTAGGGAGAGAAAGGGATACTGAAAAATGAAGAAATGCTTGGGAAGGATTTATTCTTGATTGATATTTGAATCAAAGTAATGTGGAATGATTATGTTTGGGAACCACTGGTCCTGGGTAATGTGTGTATGCGTTGTAATGTTGGCACTCATGTTGCCAGTACTTCTATTAAGAATACATGTTGATACCCATATATTCAATGAATCGTATGCTGATGGAGCATAAGTGGTACTTAATCTGTAAAAAGAAATTAGACACAGTGTTTCCACCAGACATATTAAGAATATGAGGTAAATTGCTTATTTAAGATATGCAAAAGTATGTCGTCTTCACAACAATATTTTGTATTTGAAAAACAAAGAAGACACAGCTATATCAATATTTGCTTATATTATTGGTTATTGTTTTGTAATCGGTATGTTTGTGAACTAATGTGAAGCTATAGTAGAGAGGTAAGTAGCTATTTTCTCTCTATCTGCATGTCTGCATTAATGTGCTGATGCAAGTTTCTCTTTCTCCATGCTGCACTGTTGAAAGCCTTTGCCTAATACAGAAGTAAGTAGTAGTAACCATTTCACAAACATTGCCATTTATTTATAAATGAAAATGTGCTGCATACAGGAGGCACTTTTATATTTTCTGTGCTTGGTACCTGTATGTGATTTTAGCACACCTGCCAGACTCTGCTGCTTTTGCTAGGGGGTGAAACTAATTTGAGATGAATACTAACTTGGAATACACAGTCAGTACGTGCTGTAGTCATGATGGCTAATAGGAATCTTGTTAGTGAAACATTTTAAGGAATTGTTAAGATTATAGAAGCATGTGATAATGATGTAGATGATTTTTATAGGATTTTGGGCTTTCACCTAGATGTGTGAGGGCTATTTGGAAAGTAACCTCCAATGAACTTTTAACAGAACAAGCAATGGGAAAAAAAATTTATTATATTCAGAAAATGTGTACACAAGCTACTTCAGAATGTGGTCAGCACCTGAACTGAGGTATGTGCCATATCAGGGAATTAGTTTCTATGTGCCTGTATAAGAGAAGTCTGCCACCTGTGAGCTCAGCCATATTTTGACACCTTCCATCAGCTCCTCATTATTGCTGAAATGCTGTGATCACAACCATTTCTTCAAGTAGATAAAACAGGTGGCAGTTGCTTGGAGTGAGATCGGCCGTAAAGACGGTGGCCAAACAACTCCCAGCCGAAATGTACCAGCAGTGCTCAAGTGCAAGCTGCTGTATGCAGAAGCACATTGTCATGAAGGAGCATTACACCAGATGTCAGCATTCCACACATTTTGTTTTTATTGGCCCCATGCACATTTTTAGTGCTTTTCAATACACTTGTGACCTTATTGTTGCATAGATTCCACCATCATCATTCCTTTCCTGTCGAAGAAGAGCGTTGCTATCAGCTTTCTGGCAGACAACTTTAGTTCCCCCCCCACTTGTGTGATAAACGCTTTGACTGCTCTCTGGTTTCAACATTCATGAATGAAACCCAGCTTTTATCACCTGTTACTGATAAATATGATTCAGAAATTTTAATAGCCTAAATAGTTTTGTGGGTATCTCAAACTCTATGAGAATGTCATACAGTACTCCCCCTCCCTAAACTCACTCATGGAGCTGAGCCCTTCTTGAGAAGCCATCAATGTGCTACTCAAGAACTTACCAGCAATCGTATACTTTTCTGAAATCTATGAATAGCTGATGTACTGTCTCGTTGTGCTCCCATTTTGTCTCCAGTATCTGATGAATGCAGAAAATCTCAGCTGATCTGTTAACATTGAGAAAAAGATATTGGATAACTTTTGTAGAAGTTGATAACAGTGATATCCCATGATAATTACTGAATTCAGTTTTATCACTGTTGTAAATTGGTACAATAATAGACTCCTACTGATCAGGCAAATCTTCCTTGTTCCAAATGGAATTAAAGACTTTATGAATCTCTGACCATCTCTAGTGTTCTTGTTTTTACTGTTCATTGTAAGCTCATTAATTGTGTCTTTCAGATATTCCATCTTTTTATTCCTGAATTGCCTGCTGGTTTCACATCTAAATGTTGAGATTATCCCCATTTATTTTTCTTGGATCCTGTAACCACTGCAATTTGATTTGTTTCCTTTGGTCTAATAATTTTTTGCATCCTTTGTTGAACCATGGCTTATGCTTCTTCAGTTCATAATAACCTAGACTCTCTGGCTGAAATGTTTGTATTCTATCTGATAGTTTCCCAAGCTCCTGTTAATATTCACCCCAGCGTCTTAGTTTTATAAAGCTGCGAACCTGTTTGAGATTTCAATCCAATACTGCTCTTTACCCTCTACCTCGTTTAATTTCTTGAGATAGAACATCTCCATACGAATCTCTGCATTGCTGTTGCCTGTCCCTAACTTTTGCCACCACCAAATAGTGATCAGTATTACAGCCTGCTCCTTCAAATTATCAGACATCATGTACACTTGAACGTCATCACCTGTCCTTCAAAATGTGGGCTATTTGATTGTATGTTTTTTCCACGTGGTTGATATTCAAGTAAATTTATGAATGTTACAATGTGGGAACATTGTACTTTTCACAGATTTTTGGATATGGCAAAATTTACTATTCTAACTCCATTATCATGACTACTTTTGTGTAAACTGTCCCATTTGTTGGTTTGGAAGTGTCTTCCTACCTACTTTGGCATTGAAATTTCCTAACAGAATTTTCATGTGGTATTAGGGAATTTATTGTATACACGTTCCAGTTCTTAGTAGAAGCTGCCTTTCATATAATCAATTTTATCCTCTGTTGGGGCATGCAGATTCAGAACAGTAATATCACTCCAGCAACCTCTTACTTAGTATTATGTGAGACATCCTATCACTAACAAACTTTACCCTCTTAACTCTTGATATGATTCTCTTATGTGCAGTAAAATCTGTACCTAATTCATGATTCTTATTCCCCTTTCCACAGAAAAATATACATTCACTTGTAGGTTCGGTGCCACGCCTGTCCCATCTTACCTACACTCCCGATAAATCCAACTTATATTTTGAGATTTCTTTTGCAGCTGCAAATCTGTCCTATACATGCTTCTTACATTGCACCTACCAAATCTCATCCATCATCATAGTATGAAATTAACTAATAAATCCTCTGAAATTGTGGTATAGTTCAGATATTCTAGAATGACAGTAACAAATTAAAATTGGATTCACAGAAGTTAAGAGCAGATAAGCACAGGAATTCTTTGCTGTTGTTTATTTAAGCCTATTTTGCTTTCCTGTCATCTGTGTTATGATTAGAATATACAAAACTAAGTTTAGATAAATTTTGTATGGATGTGAAACCTCATCTCCCATGTTAAGGGAAGAACATCGAGTGTCTGAGAACAGGGTTTTGTGGAGAATATTTGGACCCTTGAGGGAAGAAGCAACAAGGCTAGAGAAAATTGTAATGAGAACCTTCTTAATTTTTATGCTTCAGCAGAAGTTATTAGAATGATCAAATCAACGATGAGGAGATGGGCAGGGCCCATAATATGGAAGGGGGGGATCATAAATTGGTCCAGGATTATGATTTGAAGACCTGGGAATATATGGGAGGTTATTATTAAAATGGGTCTTAAAATAATAGCATGTTGAGGATATGTATTAGATTCACATGGCTCAGGATGGGGACCAGTGGTGTGCTGTTAGCATGGCAGTGAACTTCTGGGTTCATTAAAGGCGAAGTTCTTTGCTAGCTTAGCGACTGTTAGGTTCTTAAGATGTACTCTGCTCCATGGAAGTTATCAGTAAACTTCATTTTTATAGATATTGTCTGCCTTAAGTGCTTGTTTCTGTTACCCCAATGTGAATATTTGTATGAACAGATGTTTAAGAGCATTTTAGTTTGTGGCAGCTGATTATTTTAATCTTTGTTTTAATTGTTTCATATAGTTGCTATTCTGTTGCAGTGATTCTTAAGTTGTGTTTGCATGAGTAAAGCAGAAAGTCAAAAGTAACCTTGTTTGAAATGTTTGAAGTGTCATCACAATATTGACATTTCTTTTTTGTGCATAAGTTAAACAAACTCATTATAATAAGTGTTTTCATATGTTCAGTGATGGAAGTTCCACATATATTTTGGAACATCCTCCTCAGAATATTGTTTATAACTTGTTAATGTGGTCATGGCAAATTTTTGCTTCAGAGCAACATTTAAATAGTCATTAGTGATCAGAGTTTTGTTTTCTTTCATTTGCTTGTGTTATTTTCCTTAATGTTGTGTTTAGTGCAAGAAGTTGTGTTGAAGGATACTCCAAATGAAGTGAAAAATCAAGAAGGTGGTTGTGCATGTTGAGTGGTGCCACAGGATGGATCTAGGTTAGGTGACATGAGACTCAGACATGAAAAGGACATGATTTAAATATGTGCATGTATGTGGAGTTTTGGAGCATCTGATTTCATTACCTGTCAGATGATTTGAATTGATTCAGGTTGAAATAACATGGAGGAACCAAAGCAATACTTGCTGTCTGAGACCAAGTAAAAATAGATTGTACCGTGATTCACCTTCAGTTGATTTCCTATGTCAAAACAGCATTTATATAAACATCTGTAAGGATGCAGGTGATCAGAATGGCATGCCGTCTATAATATCAGTATACTTTTCCCACAGAAGGATACAATGTGGAGTATATTGGGCACTTGTCTAGAGCCTTGATCCTGCTTTTTGAGTTGTAGGTAAACTCTTAGCAGGAGAGATTTGCTCATTTTTTAACACTGATTTAAACATTCTTATGGACTGCAGTTAATAATTATAAGTGTATGTTTTGTGATTGTTGGGTTCCAAGTAAATTGACAAGATGCCGTATTGATCTTGTGGGTGAACGTTTTTGTTGTAATAATATGGGGAATATTTGTAAAATTCAACAAAAATCATTATGCTCATAGATTGCTTGACTTTTTAATCATCCTGTTAGGCCAGAAGGGATATCCTTTAAAGGTTATGTTACTTTACTGGACAAATGTTTCTAAACATAGGAACAGTATTTAGGGGATAGAAATTATACCCACATATGATTTCACTCTTTTGTACTGATAAAATGTGATTTCCAAATTTGGATGTCAAAAACCAGGACCCTTTGCACCAGTTTTGTGTAGTCCAGTACAAACGTTTTACGTATAGCATTTACATCAAATGGCCTATACTAATATATTCTGTATATTTCCATAAATGGTACTTTATTAACATGATAAATATAGGTTATGAAATGAAAAATGGTGTTTTTTGCTTGTCTACTTTTATACAAAGTAATTGAGAGAAATATCATTTTGTGAAAGCCTGTAGTTAGGAGTCACATGCTCAGATCTCCACTATAATGGTTTGTATTGGTAGTACCAGTTTAAAAGTTCTCTACAGAATGAACATTGATGGAACAGTTTGATGTATAAATTGGATAGCAACGGTGTTGCATGGATTATTGGTGCTCATAGATGGAATGAAAGGAAACCGGTGTTGAAAGACATCCTGCTGAAATTAAAATTCACATCTTGTCTGTCTAAAAGCCTAGCTATTAAAATTTACAAACCTATAATGTTACCTGTTGTGGATGTGAGAATGAATTGCTGGGGAAAATATTTTAGAGCAAAGAGAGAGAGGAAGAGCAGAAGTATAAGAAAACCATACTGTAAGAGGCTTCAAAATTTGTACTCTTCACTGAATATTAGAGCGGTTCCTTTCGAAAGGATAACATGGCCAGAACATGTAGTATGCATCAGGGAGTTAACAGATACATACAGAAAACCTGAAGTGAAGAAATTATTTGAGAGGCTTGATTATTGAAAGGAAGATGATGTTACCGTGGTCTTTATGAAGTAGGGTATAAGGGGTTGAAATGGATTCACTTGGTTCAAGATAAAGTAAAGTAAAAACAGTAACAAACCTTTATGTTCAATAAATGCTATGTAATTTCACCATCTGAGCAATCAATAGCTTCTGAATAGGTATTTTGCTAAATGAGGTAGTTATAAAATACAGATTTATATGCATTTGTTTCTCCAATCGAAGAGGGATAACATTCAGATTTAGCCGTATCATTTTCGTACATTGTCTCATGCCTACTTACTGCAGTTGGAGTGGAACCTTCATTTAATGTTCCTCAGTAAGGTATTCTGTCATCTGACATTCAGTTTTACTGAACTCATGTCAGTAATCTTGACTTGATTTGAGGTTCTCATGACATATATGGAGTGATGGACTTCTGTGTTGTAACACTGTAGTTCAGAAGAAACTAATGATTCAAAGGAACATGTAACCTCCATCTTCGGGGTCAAAGGATAAGCCATGAAATGAACAAGCCAAAGCAGGCAGAAAGGAGAGCAAAATGCACCTGGAAAATCTGGTCTGATATGTTGGGCCAGCTGAAGCCTGAAAGGAACAGTGAGCTAGCCAATGGAAGAGTGATCACTGTCTGTAAGGGGACTGAGAGGGAGCTAAGGGGAACAAAGAAAAGTTGTGCATTTGTTTAAGTCCTGAAAAGGGTTAGTTGCATGCCAAGTGATGATAGACATGGAAAGAAGTTGCAAGTATGTACAGGGATGAGAAAAATGGGGGAGGGGGGGTCCTCCATCTTCCTTTGGCTAGTCAAGGAGGACTAGGATTGAAAACACCAGGGGTGTATGGTATCACATTTGAATGTAGTCAAATCCACATAGGACAGGCCGCTCATTTGACACAAGCGTCATTGGCATGTATGGCTTAAATGTCCAGGCAGATGATCTGTGGTGGAGCACAGCATCAAATATGGGACTCCAGCTCCAGAACAACCAGTATGATCTCTACCACATCTAGGTACATCAGGGAGACAATTCAGATCCAACTCCATCCCCACAACATGGACTGAAAGGATGGCTTCTGTTTAAATAAGCCATTGAAACCTCTCATCTCCCAGAATGAACATTTCTTCTTCTTATTATTATTATTTGGGTAGTTTGGCCCATACACACTGCTTTTCATGGCATGGACGTCTAGTCTTCTGGGTTATTTCTGCAGCACCTTATACCTTCTCTTTCCTTGGTCTTTTCCGCTTTCTGTTGCTCTTGTTGTCCCTGGCCAGCCTCACCCATACACATACATATGACATTTTTCCACTTCTGTCTTCATTTGGCATGCCACCAGCCCTTCTCAGTGAACAGTCAATGTACCATTTCCTTTGCTTTCATTGGCTGTCTCTGAGGCCTCTTATAGACTGGTCACTCTTCCATTGGTGCTATCACAGTTCCTTTCATACCTGGAGTGGCCTATATCAGGCCAGAATTTCCACATATATTTAGCTGATTTTTCTGCCTGCTTCTTGCTTGACTTACTCTTACCTCCAAAACATCAGGCTGTCTCTAGACTGCACAGCATTTGACAGCCAAGAATTTCTGTGTTAAATTTCTTCCATTTAAGATTTCCCTATTTATTGTTCCAATCCACTGCTCCCTGAAGAAACCTTAAGTGGGGTACCACTGTATTATATTTGACTTCATGTGAGAAAAACATTCATAACAGAAGGTCTATCTTCAGATAATAGCTTTATGTTCAATTTGTATTGGAGGGGGTTGAAAGCAAAAGTTATAGGGAAGGTTTAATTTACATAAACTTAAAATCCATTTCATAATTTCAAAAAAAGAGCTCACCTTGGAACAAATAGGCAATTGTTTCTCATGTAGTTCAGTGTGAAATAAATACAGGTAAATTCATACTTTGTATTTTCATGAGCAAAGATTTGAAGGAAAATTATTTTATACTCAAACTTCATTCTGCAATTTTGATACAAATCACTGTTGTTATGTTGGTTGTAATAGTACAAGGAAGTGCTGAACATTGGCATTTGGTACCTCTGTGATATGATTTATTATTGTATATATGGGGATGGATAGGCAACATTTCTGTTGTAGGATTTCAGGTTCTTGCAGCAGTGGTCATAAAGATTCTGTCTTCTGGGATATATCACTGTGTGATCTTATGAAAGTCAACCCATGTCTCAGAGGAACATGGGTTGACTTTCACCAGCATTATAGCCCAGAAGATATTGAAATTGACCTTTTTTTAATTTTTCTTAATATGACGCATTAATAGTGGTGAGGTTTATGCTTGCCAGTGTGCCATTCCACTGGCCTTCTATAGTCTGTGCTAGCAAGAGGCAGGAAATATGAACGTTGTCTCTAAAGTAGTAGTTCCATCCAACCAAGATCAGAATGCAGAAACTGACTTTTAATTATTTCCCAGTAATGTTTCCCTTATATGACCAACTTCATCCCTCTGCACATCCAAGCCACCATTATCCATTTTCTTCATTGAACTTCTTGAAATATATTTTTATTTTGTCATGAGATCTGACAGCTTTGTTGGTTGGTATGTGGCAGTGACATCTCCTCACTCCACTGTGCTTAGTCACAGTCTCATAATAATAAAAACTTATGCAAAGACATTGCATATGCTTTCACATATACAACTTACCTTCACTGTGTTACCTTTAAAACAAAACTAGTTGTTGCTCAGTAAACCATAGATGGCTGCTGAATGCTGAACAAAAATTAGTTTTGACCATAGAGCTAGTGTTCACAATACTGATATATTGCATTTTGGCCCATAAAGCATGTACAGTTACTATTCTGAAGATACCATGTGTGTAGTTTTATTTAGGGAGATAATCTTTATAAACTACTGAAATTTAATGAGAATCATTAGAGCCGAATTAAAATAAAGTGACATATTTTGTTTTGAGACCCATCTAAGTGACCATTATTTTTGGAGCTAGAATGTTCATATTCACCAGGTACTGAACTAGGATGGAAAAATTATTGATATTGAATGTAAGTCAAATTTGTCCAGTTGTTAAGATGCAAATACAAAGATACAGATGGGGACACCAGAAACCATTTTTTTATTTGGGGTGTGGGGGCTTAAAATGCAGAAGGCTCTCATATGTCCATAAGAGGTTTCTGAAATGATGCTCTAGAGCACAGTACTAATATACTGAATTTAAATTCATTCTCAGGGGTAGTCAGACTAGCATTTGGACATATATTATGCAATTTTATGTTTGTAACCTAATGTTGGTCTGTCTGTGTTACAAGTAATGTTGAAGAACAAACTCATTTACTTCAGGATATGGATGTTGGAAGTTATGACACTGACCTGATGCAACATGATGCATGTTTGTAATCATGTACTTGGTTGTTTAAGGCCAAATCCATCATACAGCATATGAAAATTGTGTTTAATTTATTCTGCATTTCAAACTGAGCATAGTCTATTACATTTTGGATCAGTTCAGTTTCATATATGGAGGGTTGGCATCCTTCAAACATTAATCCAGTATGCTGACTGCTAAAGGGTCAGCATTTTCACATGCCCCATCTTTGATTTTAAGTGCACCCCAGCTCACTGAACATTCTAAATGGAAAATTCTCTGAAATTGAATTGTTCACATTTCCAGGCGAGGTAAAGATTAGGACACGAGGATTCTGCTCCTGCTGTCTGGCAATAATAAACCAGTCAGAGCAGTTGGCAGGTTTTGTTGAGTTTTAAATGCATTATTTGCATGATGTAGTGCCATAGTCGACACCACTATAAATTGCAGTCTCAGTGAGCCAAATGAAATGTTTTAAAGTCTCGGTAATGACACTGAAGTCAGTGGAATTGTGAAACAATGATCAGTGAAATTGCAGTTGACCCAGCTGCATTAAATGTTTGAAGCATTGTGAGAAGAACACAGTTTAATCATAGCTCATGTGAGCAGAAATGTGTTTTCATGTTTTTTCATTCATCCAGTAAAAATTACTATTTTTAATGTCCATAGTGTAAAGTCCCCAAGTTTTGATAGTGTTGTTTGTTATATACTATCTGTTCTGATGTTACAAATACAGTTCTGCTACATCCCGAAGTTAAAGACTAAGCATCTCAGTTTATGCATTGAAACAGACCTAAGTAATAATTTGGAATTATATTTGCGTATGGACTATTCTTGCACTGATCAGCAGCAATACAACTCTGTACTTTGTTGTAGGTCTTTGTTATGTGTGCTTTTTGTGCATATATCTATTTTATGCTCTTTTGATGATTGCATGGTAGCATGTTCACTGTCCTGATGATGACATGAAGGTAATCAGGTATTTATAGTTGTACGGTATAGTTTAATGTTAAATAGAACAAACTTTTTAAATTTGCTTTTTGTGGCAGTCAAGAAACGGTGAAGAGTGTAGAAGTGTTATATGGAGAAAACTTAGCCAGGTGTGTCATGCAGTGAGCAGTATTACATAACATTGTCATTCACTCGTTTAAAATTGGGCATGATGACTTTCATTGTTAACTATAAGCTACTTCTACCTTCCACATTAAAAATTTGTTGTTTATTTGAAGGGTTTTCAGGATTTTCTGTATTCTTGTCCTTTTTTCTTGTTGTCTGATACAACTGATAAGCTGGCTTGAAATACAATAAAAAGTTCATACACAAAATGTGAGAGAGAGAAAGTAAGTGGAATATCCCTCTCATTTGTATGGGTCATGCAGTTTTTTAAGGTGGTAACATAATAGAAGTTATGATGGACTGTACTTGTAGCTCAGAAGAAATGCATGTGTGATTTTGGTTGGAAAATTATTTGGAAAGATCCATTTTGAAAATTCAGAAAATGGGAGGATAATATTAAGCTGGATCTTAAAAGAATATTTTGTGAGGATCTGATGAACTATGTCTGGTTCATGTGCTCTAATGTTTGCATCATTGAAACTTTGGGTTCGGTTACTAGAGAGAGTTTGTTCCTCATCCGCCAGTGAAACTATTGTATCTTGTATTTTGATACTAAATTTCTGGTAGTCCTGTTTCTTGACCATTTAACAGCCTGTTGCACCCCTCAACCCCTGCCTTATTCACATGAGACTACTGTCAGATATGTTTGTCCTGCTGAAACATTTTTTTTTGTGTTTTTTTGTAAATTATTGTGGCAACAGTTGCAGAAGAAGGAAAATGGCAGGAGAGAAAAATATGAATAATGTATGTCTGAAATTATTGGAGAAATAAGAAAAAGTCACCTGTCCCACAGAAAAAAAGTTTAGTGCTGTCTTTGTTCCTGTTTTAAATGACTGGATGGCATATTATCCCATCTTATATTTCATTTTATGTATTTTGCTCCCACATGTTTGTTGTGTGTCGTTGCAGATTTTATAATACCTGAGGCAGACTGGTCATTTGTATGCAGTAGGATAAAATTCAGTAGAGATTGCACTTTCATTACAGTAATGAAGATAGAATATATTCAGAAGTGTCCATTGTCGTAAATGTCTTTTACAGAGATGAGTAGAGACTTTTATGATGCATTGTGGAACTGATATGTTCTGCAGTGGGAGCAGTCTCTGGCTGTATGTGTAGTGAACTCTACTATAGCTCCTCTCCCCACTGACATATTATTATTATCATTGCTTTCGTCAGTGATAACAAGTCATTGCTCAAACTTAATGTCAAGGCACTGCAATCATTTGTTTTATTAGCAATGTCTTATCAGGAGCTTTCAGTAGTACCTTGTGGTTTAATCAGAATGTTAATATTTGAATGTGGCTTGCCTAAATATACTCATACTTGCATTTTTTTTTCTACTGCGTAAAATGTTGAAATTCAATTGTGATAGTCTTGTTTTATAATACTCTTATAATTTTAAATATACATTTACTAATTTATGTTTAAGTAATATTTGTACATAAAATGTTTGAAATGTAACTAATATATATGCATAGCAATAACCATACACATGTTAAAATTGTTTGGCCCCAGCTTCGAGAGGAGATCATCATCATCATCAGTAATCTGTCAGACGACAGGCCCACAGTCTCTTCCAAAATAATTCCTCCACTTAATGCGATCTTGAGCTTTCTCCTTCAAGTGATAGTATCCTCTTCTGTCCCCAAAGTCATCCAGCATCTTCTTACTTCTTCCTCGTCTTCTTGTCACTTCTATCTGCCCCTTCCTTCAATAACTTCTTTTAGAAGGCAGTTTCTGCGTAAAACATGACCAATCCAATTAGCCTTCCATTTTCTTATTTCGTGTAGGATATTCCTCTGCTCACTGACTCTAATTAACACTTCTTCATTTCTCACATAATCGGTCCAACTGATCTTCTCCATCCTTCTCCAACACCACATTTCGAAACTTTCCAGATGTTTCTGATCTACTGCCCTAAGTGTCCATGTTTCAGCCCCAT